CGGGCTAGCGTAAGCTTCGACCTGACAAGCTGCCATCTCACCAATCTTGTCCGCGCTTGACTACAATGGCTTAACACACCCTCATGGGAGGTCCGATACACTCCACAACACAAGTCCACATTCGCGCCAGGATAAACAGTCCATGGATGGCTTGATCTTTGACGCCAAGGGAGACTTTTGCCGAGCTCGGGAGTTTCGCGTCAGTCAACACTACTTCCTTCGTCGCCACGATAACACGCTTCACTACTCCAAACTCATCTGTGGTGTGGTCCAGAACACCTTCGCCTGTTGATCATGACCCTTTCACAGGAACAGCTTCTCGACCCGCATCGAGCGATCATGCATCTCTCATGCGCTCTTGAGTCGGGTAAGCTCCTACGTCCTGCCTTGGCATCGCTCGACCGGGGCGGGATTCCGGGGTCATGTCCGGTTCAATACTTCTAGAAGGGTTGGTGGCTGAGCCGCACGCCGTATCCAACCAATGAGACGAGTAGCCCTCGATCAGACCTGGCAAGACATTTAGCCTAATAGTGGTAATATCTACCCCGACCTTTGTGATCTCCTCTTGTGCGGCCCGCAATATGGACTCGCATGGATATACAGCCTAGCATATAAGAACTCCCCTGCCCAGATGAGCTCCAATTCTTCCCCAGTATTCACTCCACCTCCGCCTTGCAATCGTCGTTGGCCGCTGGAACAGCTGGTCAATACTATCCGCAATGAGTCCCCATTTCAAGCGTCCCAACCAGGCCAATGTGGTCGAGGCACAGGAAGCTGCGCCTGAGCTTCCACCAGTGTCATGGAGCAAGTCACCCAACATGCGCAAGCTTTACTTCTACTGCATGATTCTTTGCGTCTGTTCGGCCACCACCGGTTACGATGGGTGAGTTCTGGGTCCTACAAACAGAGAAAGTCCAGTAACTAACTGTGCGAAGATCTCTCATGAACACTTCTCAGCTTCTTGACTCCTGGAAGACCACGATGGACAACCCTTCAGAGGACACTTTGGGTCGTCTCAGCGCCATGTACTCAATCGGCTCCATCGTTTCCCTCCCCGTGGTACCTTTCCTCAGCGACAGATATGGGCGCAAAACCCCCATCACTATTGGTTGCATCATTATGGTTATTGCCGCCGCCATTCAGGCTGCCTCTATGAGCCGCCCGCAATATGAGGGAGGCCGTTTCTTCATGGGTTTCGGCAACTCCATGGCTCAACTCTCTTGCCCTATGCTTATCACTGAAATTGCGCATCCTCAGCACCGTGCCAGGATTACCACCGTGTACAACTGCTTGTGGAATCTTGGTGCCCTGATCTGTGGTTGGTTGGCTTTCGGTACACAGCACATCCCCAACACCTGGTCTTGGAGAATCCCGACTCTCATCCAAGGCATTTTCTCTATCATCCAGCTCGTGTTCATCTGGTGGATTCCTGAGTAAGCTTCTTCCATATTACAAACTGTCTTTCGCAATTGGCTAACTTTGATTTCCAGGTCCCCACGTTGGCTGTTGTCCAAGGACAGGAACGACGAGGCGCTCCGCATGCTCTCTCACTACCACGCCGACGGCAACGATAGCGACTCCACTGTCATGTTCGAGTATGCTGAAATGAAGGAGACTATCCGCATCGAATTCTTGCACAAGAAGAACTCGTCATACATGGACTTTATTAAGACTGCAGGCAACCGCAAGCGGCTCTTGATGATCATCTCCCTCGGTCTCTTCTCTCAGTGGTCTGGCAATGCCCTTGTTAGCTACTACGCTGGTATTATCTACGAAGGTGCCGGTATCACTCGCCAGACCGACAAATTGGGTTTGGACGCTGGAAACAAGGTTCTCTCCTTGTTCGTCTCCATCTCATGCGCTTTGTTGGTCGACCGTGTTGGTAGACGCCCGCTTTTCCTCGCTGCGTAAGTTTGCACATCCGCTTCATTCGACACATTAACTAATTTACAATAGCACCGGTGGTATGCTCTTGTTCTTGATTTGCGCTACCATCACTGGTGAGCAATATGCCGAGAAAGGTACCCTTGCAATTGGCTATGTCAACATTGTCTTTGTCTGGCTGCATGGTGTCGCTTACTCCCTGGCTTGGTCTGGTCTCCTGGTTGCCTACACCGTCGAGATTCTGCCCTACAAGCTCCGTGCCAAGGGTGTGTTCATCATGAACATTTCCGTTCAAGTCGCCCTCACAATCAACAACTACGTGAACCCTATTCCCATCTCCGAGGGTGGCGGCTGGTACAAACAGAACTGGAAGCTGTTCGCCTGCTATGCTGGCTGGGTTTTCCTCGAGTTGATCTGGGTCTACTACTTCTACGTCGAGACTCGGTACGTCACTTTTTGTCCTCGCCTATATGAATCAAGGCTAACCTTCCCTGCAGTGGCCCCACTCTCGAGGAGATCGCTCGTATCTTCGATGGCGATAACGCAGAGGTTGCTGACATTGATATTGATGGCAAGGGTATCAGCAACCGCAATGACAGCATCAAGGAGGCTCATGTGCAAATCGAGAAGGCATAGGCGACTCCGCCACTATTTGTCAGCCACGTCGTTTTGGGCTATATAGCATTGTAGCATGTGTGCGATTTAGTGTTAGAGCCTATGGCGTTAGCCAGAGAAATAAGAACTTATTAGCACCGAACCAGATACCCATTACCGAACCATCGTTGCAGTAGAGTGTGAATGCTACTTCCTCTTCGACTTGATGACTCGCCGTGAGCAAGGAACTACATCCGCATATTCAGGCAAGATTATGGCCCATGGCGAGGTACTATACCTAACTGCATCAAACCCACTTAGTATCCGGGAACAGGACGAAGTTCATGGAGAGAAGTTGCCCGAGATACAACGCCGAAGCGAAGTAAGAGAGGTCAGAGACGAAAGTCTTGCTAGGAATCCTGGTGTGAAGATCTCACGGGGAGACCGAATATTGCCCATTGCTTGCAGTATCGGATCTGTCGTATGGTTAGAGATAGAATGTTGGCACGCCAAGTTTTCGGAGATCCTCGGACAAGCGTCTGTAGCAAGACCCTTGTGTCTGTTCTCCCATGTATGCAGATTGTGGATGAGTCTGTGCGTCCATATTAGTGTAGCCTCTAGTGATCGTGTATCTGTAGGTTATGAAGCCACCTATTAGTAGAAATGGTACATACGACCATAGGACACTGAAAATTAGGCTTCCCGTCCGCTCAGCCATATACAAGCAGTGTACCGGCGGATTAGTAGTTAGGTGGGTGACCACTAGCGAATCCCCGCTGTTGTATGTTTTTTTACTTTTTTCCCTCTCTTTTCGTTTTGCTCTAGCACGAACGAACAAGTAAAGAAGAAGGTAGTAACAACAAGGCTTATGCTCTATGGGCAACTCTGTGACAAATACGCAAGGGCATGCGTTGGAGAAGACCTCGAATTAGATGAAACTCATAGCTTTGGTAACGATTCTCAATCAACCGGTTGTGTAAGCACATCAGCAAGTCTGAATTGCGCTGCATCGACCGTTTGCCATCTCGTGACGGCAGTGCCGAGGTGGACAGGGGGGTCGGTCGTTTTCGGTCGCGTATCGCCTATCTACGCGTCTTGGAGACTTCAACGGCTCGTTCGGACCTATTTTGTCAAACTCTGAAAGAAGAAAGGAAGGTTCATCGGTTCCCGACAAAACGACGGGCATTTGTGTGTCTGATGCCGCGTAAGGATGATATTAGCCTCCAATCGACTGGACAGCAGCGCCCAACTACCCCAGGGTCATTTGCGGAAGTCTGTAACGGATTGAAATGAAATGCTGTGTGCGATTGCACCAGGCCTGTACAAAAGCCGTAAATCGAAGTGTCTGGAGCATGTTGTTTTGGAGCCGAAGTAAGTCAGGTGTCTGATACCCCACCGAGGAAATGGTTCGAACATGTGGCTGTGCAAGAAAAAAGCAGGGTCTGGAGCTGCGCCACGTCAACCCGCATGTGTAAACAAGGGGTGCCAGCTGAAAGCAACAAAACTCAAATTTTCTCCTGTTCATCTTGCGCGTCACATGCCGTTGGCGTGAGCGGTCAGGGATAGGCTGCATACGCAATTTAGATCGTAGACGTAGTGAGACGGGATGTGGCTGCAATCTAGATCGTCGGTTCTCACAGGGGTGGGAGGCTGTCAATCCTTCCCGCTGTGTGTGAGGGGCGGCGGCTGCGTGTCAATCAAGTCAATCAATAGTGGCCATCGCTGCGGGATGAAGATGTCGTGGGCGTGATGTCCTATGTCTGGCTGTAAGTTGATAGGGTGCGCGCAGAGTGCGGTGTGATAGCATCGTCATGGTTGCGGTTCGCTAACCCACAACAACGCATAGTGTGCTCTGTGCCGTGTACGTTCGCGTGTATCACGATCTTGTCGGTCGCTCTTAGTCGAGCCTTGCTTTATTGTAACACGGAGAAGGGGTAGCCGGCAGAAAGCACTCCAATATTGACGTAATGTGCATACCGCTGCCAGGGCGATCGCCAGCGAGGCTGGGAATTGGCTGAGAGCTTGGCAATTGTCTCTCAACTGGATTCGCGCCGCATCTCGCGAATCACAAGGTTGCTTTTGCGCCAACTCGGTAATTTCCTTGTGCCCTTGTCGCGCATCTTCACATGGGAACGCGTTTCGTATGCTGACCGATAAGAGTAGCAGTTGTATAGCCTCATCGACGGCAACGCCGAGATGCATTCAACGCCGCACACTAGCAAGCCCGCGGCAATTGAGGCTGGTGATGCAGGTCGACGACTGCGTCCAGGGTCCAGAAGCTCGATGCGCGCACGCAGAGCTGAGGTTGCTAGCGCACTGACGAGTCGCGCGGTAGGGCCGATTTGTGGAGTGTGCTTGGACCATACGTCACACTAGAGGCTTGTGGGCTCCTTGTATAGCGCCCGCAGTCCTGTTTATTTGTATCTAGTTCCAGGGAGCCTCCTAATTTCCTATCGAAGCATCTTCCCTTCGCAAACCCTACACTCTCACCTCACGGGCGCGCAACTGCCTAGCTGCCCATCATGTCGAGTTCCGTAAGTTGAAATTCGCTGCGACAACCAAACGCAAGCCTGCGCTGACCATAACACAGGGTGGAGACATTGGCAGTGCCAAAGAGGGCTCCTCCAATTCCCTCTCCAGTTTGGTATCCACCCTGGTACCGACTGCCATTCTCGCCTTCGCCTTCGTGGCCGCCTTCTTCATCGCGCGCAAGTACTTCCGCCGCGTCTATGCGCCCAGGACCTACCTCAACCATCTGGGCCAGCAGCGACAGACCCCCGCGCCGAGCCCAGGCTTCTTTGGATGGATAAAGGACTTCAAGAACCTCAAGGACGAGTACATCCTGGACCACCAGTCCATTGACGGCTACCTGTTTGTGCGCTTCTTCAAGGTTCTCATCATCACCTGCTTCCTAGGATGTCTCGTCACATGGCCTGTCTTGTTCCCCGTCAATGCCACTGGAGGCGCAGGCCAAGAACAGCTCGACCTGCTCTCCATGAGCAATGTCGACCCCGCAGGCACCAACGTCAACCGCTACTATGCGCACGCCGGAATCTCCTTCATCTTTCTTTCAATGGTCATGGCCATCATTGCCCGCGAGTCTTTCTATGTTGTCAACCTCCGCCAAGCATACCGCCGTTCACCATGGGGAGCCAGCCGCTTGTCCTCGCGTACCATTCTGTTCACAAATGTCCCTACCACCATGTCCCAGTCGGCTCTCTTCGAAATGTTCCCTGGCGTCAAGCACGCCTGGGTTGCGTCCAACACCAAGGAGTTGGATGACTTGGTCGAGGACCGCGACAAGACTGCCATGAAGCTGGAGGAGGGCGAGATCCAGTTGTCCCGCGATGCCAACACAAACCGAATGAAGGCCGAGAAGGGCAAAAAGCACTTCGTTGCGAGCGACGTATCTGACGGCACCAAGTGGATTGACCCCAAGAAGCGACCAACACACAAGCTGAAATTCTTGATTGGCAAGAAGGTTGACACCATTGAGTACGGGCGTTCGCACCTGGCTGAGCTCCTTCCCAAGATTCAACAAGAGCAGGACAAGCACTGGAATGGCCAAGGCGACTTGGTTGGAGCTGTCTTCCTCGAGTTCGACACCCAAAAGCACGCGCAAGACGCCTGGCAGATGATGCAGAGCAGCAAGACTAGGCCTGACAAGAAGCTCAAGGCGCGCCAGCTTGGTGTCATGCCTCAAGAAGTTGCCTGGGGTAATCTGCGCATCAAGCCCATGGAGCACCTCGTTCGTTGGGCACTAGCTACTGGCTTCATCTCCGTCATGATCATCTTCTTCGCGGTTCCTGGTAAGATCCATAAAACATATCCTACAGCATCCCACTAACGTATGCAGTTGCCTTTGTCGGTCTGATCTCCAACATCAACTACCTCGCTGATCGCTTCACCTGGCTCGAATGGATCCTGGACATTCCCAAGGTGATTCTGGGTGTAGTCACTGGTCTCCTTCCCGCTGTCATGCTTGCCGTTCTCATGGCTCTTGTGCCTATCGTTTGTCGTCTGATGGCCAAGTTGGCCGGATACGTTACATACAGTCAGATCGAGCTCAAGTGCCAGAGCTGGTACTTTGCCTTCCAGGTTGTGCAAGTCTTCCTTGTAGCAACTCTCTCTAGTGCCATCACGTCCGTCATCAACCAGGTCCTCGACAACCCGAGCATTGTACTCAACCTTCTCGCTACCAACTTGCCCAAGGCCTCCAACTTCTACATTAGCTACTTCATCCTGTTGGGTCTCTCGTCGGCTGCCGGAACTCTGCTGAACATCGGTGGCTTTGTTGTAGTAGTACTCCTCGGCCGCATCCTCCCCGGCAAGACACCTCGCAAGATCTTCGAAAAGCTTACCAAGCTCTCTGCTCCTTCATGGGGATCCGAGTACCCCAAGTGGGTGAACTTAGCTGTCATTGGTATCACCTACTCTGGCATCGCACCTCTTATCCTCGGTTTCGCCACGGTCGGTTTCACCCTCATCTACATTGCTTTCAGGTACAACTTCCTCTACGTCTATGAGACCAACCTGGACACCAAGGGTGAGGCCTACCAGAAGGCACTTCGCCAGCTACTTACAGGTGTCTACCTCTCTGAGATTTGCCTCATTGGTCTCTTCGCCATTGCTACCGCCGACAACATCCAGGCTGTTGGTCCTCTGGCCATCATGTGTGTCCTTCTCTTCCTCACCATCGTCTTCCAGTTCACTCTGAAGTTCGCCCTGAAGCATGAAGAAGCACGCCTTGCCTATACTGATCCATCCCCTGCCCACGGCGGCCTCAAGGGACACATTGAGGATGGCATGCACGCCCAAAATGGCGAGAAGGTCAACACAACCGACGCCACCCCTAGCTACGCGCCCAAGCCTACTCGTATGCCCATGTTCCTGCGTAAGATGTTCAACCCCGAGAAGCACTCGATCCACAATCTCTCAGCCTCGCTCGACCAATTCTACCACCAACCGCAGGAGCCACTGCCAATCGAGATCCAGAAGCGTGCTTTCTTCAACCCATCGGTCACTAGCCCTACGCCTGTGTTGTGGATTGTGAGAGATGACATGGGCATCAGCCAGCGCGAGATCAGAGACACGCAAAAGATTGTTCCCGGACTCATCATGACTGACGAGCAGGCCACCTTTAACGAGAAGGGTAAGGTCAGCTGGGATGGTGTTGAGAATGGCCACTCTCGTGAGGCACCCGTCTTCGACGAGCGTATCGTTTACTAGTCTAATGGAGGATGGTGTTTTAACTAACGATGACGGATTACTGGAGTTCGATACCCCAAAGGGATGAAAGGAACGTTGTGCTTTCCTTGTATTTGCAGAGTTTCCTAGCATGAGCAAATGGGTGACGGCGAAAAAGGCGTGTTTGCTCCAACACTTTTCTCTTCAGTAAACGAGTACCCCTACTACTTTAGCTATATATAAATAGTAATGATCACTGAGTTGCGCATTCAATTTTCCACTGTGGGTACGTGTGAGCGATGCAAGACACGAATCATGATGACCACACACATGCTGTTTGAGTGGAACTGGTGTATTGGGTATCATGCTGTTGTGCGCCTCACCAAGATGGTGTAATTCAATCTTCAAACTGCGCCTGCCCTCCTCTTTTCAAGAATCTGCAACTTCAAACCTTCGGCAGCAACCTCGGTCTCCAACACTCTGCCTACGCCCTTCTTCCATGTCTCCTCAAGCGTCTTGATCTCACCGCTTGCGTTGTTTTGCTGCGACTGCCTCAACATCTCTGCCTCTTCTTGCTGCTTCCTCAGATCCGCCAGCTCTGCCTCGATGCCCTTCAGAATGTCCTCCAACTGCGAGTTGCCCACTAGCCACGCATTCTTGCCAAACTTCTCCAGCAGGCCCAGTTGTGTCAGCCTGCCCTGGACGTACTCGGAGCTTGTGTAGGCCTGCTTCAGCGCCTTGTTCCACCTTTGTAGCAGCTCTGGCCTCTCCTCGTCGCTGGTAGGGGTTGTGTTCTCGGGCGCATCGAGATCCTCGTAGCGCTTCAGATCGACACCCGATAGCTTGGAAGTAGGGTGGTCGTCAAGTCGGGCATGTTCGCGTGCGATGAAGTCGGAAAAGGTAGGTGTGTATTTTGCGGCTGCTGGTATAAGCGCTGGGTGCATGTCTGAGGTATCTACGCCGGCGCTCCTGATATCGGCGTTGATAACGGCTCTGGCAGCAGCCAGGCTTCCAGCATCGAGCTCCGTATCGACATCTACAAGCAGTTAGCAGGCAATAACTGGTTATCGTCACGCGCGCCTCGGCGGAACAGCGCGCATCGGACATGGGGCTGTTCCAGGCAATCGCAAATTGCACATACAAGGGAGATGGTCGTAGGATTCCTGGATGAGTGGCATTGTTGCAAGGGACCTGCAGGAGGAGAGGGGAAGAGGGTGTATTGGAGACGGCGAGGTATTGGCAGTGAAGGGTGTCGCGAAACTAGAGGCAGGCCCGGTAAATTTAGGCTACTGGGTCTGTCCGGGCCCCCCGCCAACCAGCACACGAGGAGCCCCGCAACGTCATCCTAGGCTCATGCATGTGCCTGACGCAACTGTCGAGCTTCTGCGAGCTCTGGTGGCCATTCGTACGACTCCAGGAGCACCAGCATCTTGTTTCCCCTGTGCCAGGCGAGCCCATGTGCAGACATATAGGCGTCCGGCACGCGTAGCTCCATGTGCCATCAGTAGCGTACAAGTACTTCTTCTTGCCTCCACAGCGGGCTCCTGCTTTCTTCCGCACACATCCGTCCACACCATACACATCTCATCGCGTGCATGGCGCGCTCACACATCGCCGTGGCCCTGGGCGCTGCCCTTGTCGCCTCATTGATCATCGCACAGCTCGTCATCAACTTGGGATTTCCTGCCGTCGACTTCTGGCACGGAAGGCTCGACAACAGCTACAATGGAGCGCAGCAGGACCGCTTCAACAGCGAGAAGCAGGATGGCGGCCTGGCCGATGACCCATCTTCGTACCTCATCGGCGTTGGCAAGGCGGACATCACGGGGTGAGTGGCGCGAACAAACTACATGCGACTGTACTGACGACACCACAGTCCGGTTGTCGAGCTCAACATGATGGGCTATGCCAACTCATCGCAAATTGGCTCTGGACTCCGCCAACGCCTCTACTCCCGCGCCTTCATCGTTGGCAACCCGAGCGAAACCAGCGAACGACTCGTGTACCTTGTCCTCGACACCCAGTCCGGAGACTCTGCCATTCGCAACGGCATCTTGGAGGGCCTCCAGGCCATGGGCTCCGAGTACTCCGTCTATGGAAAGAACAATGTAGCCGTGACAGGCACTCACAGCCATGCTGGGCCAGGAGCCTGGCTGAACTACCTTCTTCCCCAGATCACAAGTCAAGGCTTCGATAAGCAGAGCTACCAGGCTATCGTCGACGGAACACTTCTATCTATCAGGAGGGCACACGAGAGTCTGACCCTAGGAACTGTCAGTGCTGGGACTGCGAAAATTGCCGATGCGAACATCAACCGCAGTCTGTTCGCCTACCTGGCCAACCCACAGGCAGAACGCGATCGGTATACCGACAACGTGGACAAGACCATGACACTCCTGAAGTTTACAAGAGCTAGTGACGGAAAGAGCATTGGAATTCTGAATTGGTTCCCTGTCCATGGTACGAGTTTACTCGGCAACCAGACGCTCATTGCTGGAGACAACAAGGGCGTGGCTGCCTACTTGCTGGAGAAGGACATCGAGGCGGACGCTAGCAACTCAAATGCTGCCGAGGGCTTCGTGGCGGGCTTCTCCCAAGCTAACGTCGGTGACACTACCCCCAATGTACTTGGCGCCTACTGTGAAGACGGCTCAGGCCAACAGTGCCGACTCAATGACAGCACCTGTGGAGGAAAGAGTCAGGACTGCCACGGCCGTGGACCATACTTTGGTCTCGACGACGGAGGCCACAGGTCATGCTACGAGATCGGCAGGCGTCAGGCTCTGGGCGCCAGGAGCATCTACGACTTCAATGAGTTCACGCCTATCTCTGGCAAGGTCCGCTCGTTCCACACCTTTGTCGACTTTTCCAATTTTACCTTCACCCTCAGCAATGGATCTGTCGTTCACACTTGCCCAGCAGCAATGGGTAACTCCTTTGCCGCTGGTACATCTGATGGGCCTGGCGCATTCGACTTTGTTCAGAACGACCCTGGCGCGCCTTCGAATCCTTTCTGGAATATAGTTGGCAGCGCCATCGCACCACCAAGCAAGGAGCAGAAGGAGTGCCAATACCCGAAACCTGTCCTACTAAATGTTGGACAGGCTAACATACCGTACCCATGGTCTCCAAATATTGTCGACATCCAAGTTCTTCGTGTTGGCCAGCTGGTGATCATTGTCTCACCAGGTGAGGCTACGACCATGTCTGGTCGCCGCTGGCGCGAGGCAGTACACAACTACATTGTCTCCTCGAACATTGCTTCCTCGCCAATTGTTGTGCTAGGTGGACCAGCCAACAGCTACACTCATTATATTGCGACAGAAGAAGAGTATGGCATCCAGCGATATGAGGGTGCATCCACCTTGTATGGTCAGCACACTTTGAACGCATACATCAACTCCACCCTAACGTACCTTCCCTACCTCGCCGACGATGCAGCAAGCTCTCCGCCACCTGGGCCTTCCCCTCCCGATAACCGCGACAAGAGCATCTCCCTTATCACTGGCGTCGTCTACGATGGTGCAGGCTTTGGGCGTTCATTTGGCCAAGTTACCAAAGACGTCCTACCCACCTATGCCCGTGGCGCCACCGTATCTGCTACATTTGTCGGCGCCAACCCGCGTAATAATCTCCGTCTAGAAGGTACTTTTGCTTCAATTGAGAAGCAGAACAGCGATGGCACTTGGGTGCAAGTGAAGAACGATGAAGACTGGGAGCTGGTCTACCAATGGAAGCGCGTCAACGGACTTACAGGAACGAGTGATGTTACAATCACATGGGACACCAGTTTCACAGGACCAGAAGCAGGCACGTACAAGATCCGGTACTACGGCGATGCTAAGAAGGTCGGTGGAACGATTACAGAGTTTGAGGGTTCGAGCGCATCATTCAAACTGACGTAAACCACGCCTGCAATATGGACTGATACACGACACTTATGTGGGAATGCCCAAACGAAGAGAGGAATCTGTAATTTATACCCAATGTTGGTCAACGTGAAGAATGACATTGTTTTGTTTCCCTATACTCACTTTCCAACTTAAAAGGGATGCAAAGGGAAGAAAACGCCATTGCGAAGCCGATGGCTTAGGAAATGAGATTATATATAACATCTTATTCGGAAGGTGTTGTCTGCTGTCTACCCGCGCGTTCGCGGACTTTATCTATTTGTCATTCTAGTCGTGTCCATGCATGTTACCGTAGCCAGGCGGGTCTTTTTAGTTCTTGTCATCCGTATCTCATCGTTCTTTCCGCTACATCCTACTCAGACTCCATACTCTCGTCCTCATACTCAGATTCCATATTCTCGCCCTCATACTCGACCAATTTCAGTGTACCGATCCACCTTGGCCTTTCAACAGGCTTGTCATATGTGCTACCAACTTCACGCTTTCGCGTAAAAGCCTGTGCGCCTCTTCGGTCTTTGCTTTCTCTTGTTCAAGTTTGTTCTCAAGCTTGCCGACCTGCATGCCGTTATCTGCCTTCACCTCCTCAAATTTCTCGTTCAAAGCGGCTTCAAACTGTTCTTTCTCGCGCGCCTTCCTCAGAAGCTCTTGACGAAGTCTGGCCATTTTTTTTCTCGAGGTAAGTGACATGTAGCGCACGTCTCTGTTTTTTGGTCGAGAAACCACCAGCGGGGTCACTGCGAGCTGACTTTAGAGCCTTCTTATTTCGGTTCTTCCTATTTGTTTCCTGAGGGACAATGGTGGCCTGACGATGTTGCAGTTAGCGCATGTTACAAGAAGTAGTAGTGTGCGCTTGTACGGCCTGCTTCAGAGACTGAGTATACTTACGTGATTGGCGTGCTCAACCTTTAGAGCAAGAGTCGGAGTGGGTTCCTCGGGACGTTCTTCCTGCTTTACTCGCACATTATGTTCTCCGTGTTCTTCCCTCTTGACAGTCACTCCATATTGCCGGGGCGGACTCATGGTGGCAGAGTCGCTATGCCGAGTTGGTGTTGAGACGTTGTTAATGAGTCAGTGTTAAGAGTGTGATGTTTGTGATCCAAGCAGACGCGTGTACACAACGCCAAGGGTCAAGAATGGGGAAGGAGCAAGGTGAAGGTGAGTGCGTTGCCGAAGAGACGCGACCAAGAGGGCGGTCAAAGCGCGCGTTGGTGAAGATTTGTAGATGAAAATCCTCCATTCATGCCTCTATATAAGGCTCAAAGCATCTGGTTCAATTCAGAAATCTAGCTCAGACTGTCTACATTTTGTTTTGTACGATATCCATCGTGTTCCCACTTGTTTCTCAGACTACTTCGTTACGCTAGCCGGAGAACCAAGCCACTATATCATCCCATTGCCTCTGCAACTTTGCCAATCGATTCTCGACCTCATCACTCTCACGATTCAGCTTCTGAACCCTGGTCTCATTCCACAGATCGCGCGATTCTGCCTCTTCCTTCATTAACCGCAACTCAGCTTGTAGTGCTGACCTTCGCTGCCTTTCGAGAATCCGGGCTAGCTCATTTGGCCTCGGTTGATTCACCTCACACCACATCTTGACGCGTGTGATATCTTCTTTGTGTCTCATGTTGATCTCCATGAGCTGCCGAGCGTGATTCTCGTTGACGATCGCGATGTCCTTTGCATGAGCTGCTTTGAGGTCATCGAAATGCTTCTTGTGATCTACACGCTCTTTCTCGAGAGTGCTTGATAGACTGAGAACCTGCCACTCATGCCTTCTTAGATCCTTGATTAGGGAGGTGAGAGGCGATTCTGCAGAGCTGGCATGTATTGTTGACTGTAGCTTCCATTATGTTAGTGTCTTCCTCACGGGTACATTGTGGTTTTCTAAACCTACAGACTTTGCTCGTGCAATTGGGTACGTGTCGTTACGAGGAAAAAGACGTTTGAAGGATGGATTACGACTGCGTTTCGTTGGCTCTGTCCTTGACATTGTGCAGTCGTGGGTAAACGATTGAACAACATCTCGCAAACAGTACAGCTTGTCAGAGAAGAGGATCTAGGAGGCTATCTTTAGGCTGCAGCTCTTGTGGGACGTAAGAGTTGGACAATGCGATACGAACGGAGATGAGATAGTTTGTACGAGCGGTGTAATTATGATAGTAAAAGTGAAGGTGAGGTTGGAATCTCAAGCTAATTGTCACAAGACTCATATGTGGTTGCTACTTTATTCCCAAACTTGGATTTGATGCTTTCGCTCCTTGATCTCCAGATCTCAGCGTCTAGTCTCAATGTCCAGCCTCAGTGTCTTATCTACAAATGTGATAATCCCAACTGAACATGGCTCAGGATCGTAAAGCAAGGCAGTCACTACGTCCGACTCTTCCTCGATGTCCTTCAGCTCTGCCTACGCTCCTGCGATGTTATTCTAAGAAGTAGTAGCAAGATCATACACATAATCTGCTCTTGAATCCAAGCCTACCCACCTTCGGTTCTACTACCACGCCTCAGCAGCAACGGTATCGAGGGCATCTTTGTCAACCTCTTAGTCTTCGCGTTTAGGTTTGGGCTCGCCTTTGGTGTCTTGACCTTCTGTGCATATTTTGAATCCTTCAATACCTCACCCTTCCCAGATTTGTGTGGCGCAAGGAGAGAATCGAACGTCGTCTCTGGGTTAGCCCGGAACTTCACTTCCTGGAGTAGAGGACTGCGAACACGGGTGGAGGTATCGGATGATGATAGTGGACCGGAATTGGATGCTAGGGATGAGGTGCAGTTCGCGTTACAGGTGCTTATCCGAGAATTGGAATGTTGCGAGAAGTAGTCTTCACTGCTTGCTGCTCGAGCCTAAGGATCGATGTATGAAGTTAGCCAGATCTCATGCGCAGTTCATACATGAAGTCACCTACATGTGAGCCGTGATAGCGAGGCGCGTTGTTCACAAACTCCTGGAATGATGGTGTGGATTTTGACTCGGGTAGCGGAGATGGTTCTGGAGGCGATAATGTAGAAGAACGAAAATTGTACGTCGAATGACAAGAAGTGCGCCGGGACTCTGAGTAAACAGACTCTTCATCCTTTTTGGCGTCAATAGAAGCAATCTTGGTTTGAACCTGAGATAGGCCAAAAAATTTACGCACCTTCTTTGTCAGCTTTGACAAAGCGCGCTGGCTGTGCTGCTTATCATCCTCCATAGTGGTAAGCGCATTGGTTCTCTCCACCTTTGGCATCACGCGTGGAACCAAGTCTCCGGGCCTATCGTGACGAGTATTGGCGCTCTCGCCCAACCAATCTTGAAGGCTGTCGTCCTCTATGCCCTGTACAAGCGCTAGTCTGTCTTCTGCGGACAGTGCTTGGGCGTAGTAGCGCGACTGTTGTCGGGGTTGTTTGCACGAAAGGACTGACATGGAAGGACTTGAGCGATGGTGTAAGTTTAATCCCAAGGATTGGTGCTGATTTTGCGATCCAGAATTCGCAGTACGGTCAGCTGCTTTGTTAGCACCAAAAGACGTCAATGGGTGGGAACCGTGTGGGCCGAAAGGCTCTCGTATGGGAATAGTGAAAGGTGATGAAGGAGCGTCCTGTATTGGCAATGCGACTGGCTGATCAAAAGGCTCCCACATATTTGCAGCTAGATTGTTCGACGTATAGCCATCTGTGACCCTTGAGTCCGGGTGGACACCTGACTCCCTCTGCTTCACCGTAAAAGAGGATGATGAAGTCGCATCCCCGGCGCCTACGATAGGCGGCCAATGGTTATCGTGGACCTCACCATGACTTACATCCTTCTTGCGTAGTGACGACATTGTACGCAGCAGATAGTCCCTAATGTGCGATTCTTTTCGGCGTCGAAACTTGCGACAAGGTGAAGAAGGGGATGGTTCTGGTGTCGGACAAGCGACTGTGGTAAAGCGTCAGAAGTTGTTCAGGTTCGAAAGCTTGAGCTCGAGCTGCTATTGCCGCTGGGACATTCTAGCTGGATCAAACAATATACGTGCACTAGTATAGTCATTGTGAGGACCTGTGAGCTGAATGGAACATGCACTGTAGAGATAACGAGTATCATCGTGAATGAACAGGGAAAAGCGGCAGCTGATCTGTCAATTGTTTGGTAGTAATTCATTCACTCTTGAATGACGCTTCAAACCAATACCCGTTCCCACATCTTGTCCCCATCTCTGGGTAGGTCAAGCCCTCTTTCTCCATACTCTATTCTTCTTTGCATCAGTCTCCTCTACCTGAGAACCTGGAGTCTCCTCCATCGATGGCACCATATGGAGCTATTAAGCTCATCGACATATGTAATTCCTGGCTTCGTCGTTCCTTTGAGCGGCACCTTGACCACCGGAGTATCAAGCGGGCTGAGAGAGGAGCCCGGGGGTCAAATGCTTCAGCCGAGCCTCATCGTTGAGTTGCATGCTACGCTTAGCGAGCGAACACGAATGTTGATTATTGTCCTGTTGTCCGTCACTGTACTCATATAACGACCCATTGGAAAAATCCCAGAATCATGGTAGCAATAACCAGGTATGTTGATGTAAGCGGTGCGTGCCGGCTTCCGAGAGATGTGGGGTCGCCTGTGGGTCTGGGATCATTGTCAGCGTTCACATTCCTGAACTTGGCGTAACTTCTAGATAGGGTAATAGCATCATCGAGACGCAATCTGCAGCCGCATAGTGGACCGCTCGGGTAAAGTGCGCGTGGGATTTGAACTTACTGCTTCAGATGTAGACCCATGTCATCGATGGCATCACACCTCTGCCACTCCAGCTCGGGAACTGCCTCCATGGTCACGTTGTTGTCGTCGTTGAAGCTCAGCCTTTGTCCGTTACTTGCGCTAAAGGAGTGCCAGTCCGGGCTCTGAAGCTCTGAGCCTTTGGAGACTAAATATTCTGCAGCGTGTGTGTTGGGGTCAAAGCTTCGGATGAAGGACGCCCAGTATGCCTGCACGAAAACGCCTGCGGCCGAAGTAGCATTGTTCCAGATTGGTAGTAATTCTCCGACATGCGACGCGCTTCCCACATTCCACCGGTATTGCCAGGTTGGGTTCGTGTTATTGATGGCGTAGGTATCGGTGACATTAAGAGCAGGGCAGGTATATCGGATGTACCCATAGACATCAGCGGTCAGTGATCTCCAGCGGGCGTCAGCAGTCGTCGCAATGTTACCACCCCAAACTTGACGGATTGTATCCCAGTTCAAGGCGGGGTACTGGTCGGTGAGGAAATCCTGAGACCGAGACTGGGACATGATGCTCTTCTGAACGAAATTGATGCCATCATGCGTGGCACTGCCAAAGATAGTGGGCACGTTGACGAAATGACCAGCCTTCAATTCGTTAAAAGTGTAGTCTTGCACGAAATCGTAGTCCAGGGTCGGATTCCAGAAGTAAAGCGGTGGATTCTTGCCGCCTGGGAATGGCATCTTCAATGTACTGACAGCATCTTGGAAGGTGACCGCATCGAGGCTTGCCATGCAGTTGAGATCGGCGCATCCCGTCTGTTTGAGTAGCTCGTCGAATTGCCATTGACTGTCTCCTACGTCTCGTAGCGATGGAAAGGCAGGTGACTCGGCAGCAGCAGCGTGGAAGAGGCCGTCATCTCGTCCACCATATGCGGTAAGTTGGAAAACAACGGAGCCTCCACCAGCGCTTGCTCCCCCAATGGTAACATGTTTCGGGTCGCCTCCAAACTGTTGAATATGTTTTTGTACCCATTCGAGTGCTTTTCTCTGATCTTTCAGTCCGTTGTTTAGACTCAGACTCGAATTCGCAACAATCTCACGTCCAGCTAGGAACCCATAAGGGCCTACTCGATAGTTGAAGTTCACCACAACCATGCCGTCGTCGCCAGCATCAATCAAGTCTGCACCGTTGTAGTTTGCATTGCCGTTGAGATTGAAGCCACCGCCCTGAATGAAGACGTAGACCGGCAACTTGCTCTTATTTGTGGCTCTCTCTGGCGCGAAAACGTTGATAAACAGGCAATCTTCTGAGTTGGTTCCCCCAAATTCAGCTTTCAGTGGTCTCTTGGTGCCGATACATAGGGGTCCGAACTAAAGTGCTGTTAGCGTGTTGTCAACAAACATGAACGCGTCTTGAATACTTTTGTAGCGTTGACAACACCAGACTCATCTTTGGGATCTTGAGGTGCGGTAAATCGCAGTCCCTCTACACGCGATGGATTGCGTGCATATCGCATACCAGCCCAGCGTATGACACCATTGCCGAGATCTTTTCCACGGTACTTTGCATATCCAAGGTCGATCGTTTCTTGCAGCGCTAAGGCATGCTGAAATAAGAGTGCTACACAAAGCAGCAGGCGAAACATTGTTGACAGTTGAGTAAACGAAAGGCGAAGGAAGGAAGGAAGGCAAGTCGCAAATAGGTACAAACAATGGGGTATCGTATTCGGTGATGTTTCCCCTGGTTGTCGCCGAAGGGTCGTTCCGATACGAGCTATGCTATAGTGCGGCAGGGCTACGTAGATCTCTGTTCTAGGGGAACGGGTCAGAAGTACAAAAGAAACTCGACAGTTGCATCATGCTATCATGACAGGGAGTTCGGTCGGAAGTGTGCTATTTCCGAAGCGTTAGCTTTTACATGTGACGTCTGTTTGCGCTGTGGTGAATAGTACATACTGTGTGGAGAAGGATCAGTGACATTAGCACCACCGTGCTATTAGCAAACGTAAGCTCGCGGGCTGAGTCGATGGTAGTACAGCAACGAGGATCCACGTCATAAAAGAGCGGGCCCGCGGGTATAAGAGTGCCTGAGTGATTTGTTGTTGCTTCTAGTTATCGCTGCAATGGACCTATCTGCACCGCCGCACTGCAGCATCGAACCAGGGTTTTGCAAAGATCCAGACCATTTGACTGCATGAGGGCGTGAGCGACTCTGCGACGGGATGACCCCAGGCCTCCGACAAGTGGGTGGTACCGACCAGGGTGATTGACCGACAGGCAGTAGCGCGCGCTGACGGTACAATTACACCGAAACTATTCCATTGCTGTGCCTCGTTGAACTCCTGGGGTCCGCGGATTCCCATTCGAGGATCAAGGACGGCGACAGGGGGAGACGCAAAATGACGACTGGTGCTGAACGGGCACGGCAGATGGTGATTGACAACAGCAATGAGATCAGATCTACGATGTGAAAGCGGTTGGCAGGTGCCCAGCATTGTTGATCCAAAAGCCATGTGGGACCTGCAGCCGTATCCATGATGCGAAGCCTGATCACCTCAAGGATGGGGAGCGGCATCCTTGCCGGCTTTCTGCTAGAGGGCAAGATCGGCCGTGCCAACGCGCGAGCAGGACGGCTGAAACCTGGGCACAAGGATGAAACCACGACGCCTTCACGAGATTTTGTGGAAACACTCCAAATTACATTTTCCAAGTATTTTTGCCCTTCGCTTGGCCTCATCATCGAATGATGATGATTTTGTTCAGCATCAGTGCGAGCCTTTGGGATACTCGGCTCCGTCGCGATGCCCGAATGGCGTTTAAAAGCCACGTCGAGACGTGCTTGGTCGGGCCTGTTGCAGCGTCTGTGAATGCGTCGTGGCCCACGTGGTCTGTTGTCAGCCTCGGGCGCGTATTGGAGGTTGTGACAAGCACTCGAAAGCTCGCCAGCCAGGAATCTGCTTATCCTGAAGGCTTGCTTTTTCAGGGTCCACATGCGTCACTTCTCAACGTTGTCGGATCAATACATAGCATCCATGGTTTGAGGCGGTCAACCAAACAGCACATCACTCTGCGAACCTACTGGTCTGCGGTGCAACACAGATGATCCCCGCGTTCACGCACACCATCGTGCCGTTAGGTTCGGTGATCCGGAGAAGCCCCAATGCCGCGGGATTTCCAAGCTATCCGAACGCCAGGCCTGCAAGCCACTAAGCCATCGTTCTAGAACTTCCACCACTCTTACACTTCACGACATGTCTTTGAGAATTCTCCAAAGTTCGTAAAAGAGCATTCTACACGTGTTTCACCTTTGCAGAACACCGAGGTTGAAGCGTACTGCAGTGGTTCCGGATTGGGGAGCCGCAACCTGCACTCAAAACTTTCCGAGTCCAAACTAGTGATGTCTCATTCGCGCGTAGACTGCAGCAGCATGCGTGATTTCCTCAGCACAATCTGTTCCGTTTCCCAACACAATGATGATCCTTCGGAATGCGTATGCGGACCTTGACTCATATTCAAGTAAATCATTCGTTACATTTCAGTAGAGCGTGATCTTGAGTTCAAAGGTGCTGGATGGCAGTTCCGCAGCAGATGAATGCGTCAAAGCACGAATTCTCTATAACGGTATTTAAACATCTCTTGATCTTTGTACACAAGGGTGTATCTCACCGCCTAAACCCTAGCTGGTTCTTTTCCTCCAAAGCTGTTCCCAGTATATACATATCCAGAACCCTATGCTGTTTCTGGCATCAATGCTCGTCTTCATTTCCTGTCTTCTTATCTGACACTTGAATCTGCATCTTCCATATCTAGCAACGCTTCTCTCAGAAGTCAGTAACCCTCCCATTATAGCTCCAATCACCCGTCTTTCCAGTGCTTCCCCACCTAAGAGGTTCATTCTTCGGTCCGCCCACCTCCCCCGTCTTGGGATTAACATCACCCTCAAACTCCGGCGGTGCCCCTCTCCTCATATTAGGATGAAACTCCTCTCCCTTCTTGATTTCCTTGCCATTCTCAAACCGTACTTCGGGAGCTGAGTCGGGTGACTGATTTATTTGTGGTCTTGACCTGGAGGCGGGGGAGGCGGGTGTTGGAGATGACGAGTCTGGAGACTGGTTGATTTGCATGCGGATGTTTGGTTTGGAGGTTGGGGTTTCAATGTCTTTGGGTGTGCTGAAGGCGCCAGTGCTTTGCTTTTGCAGCTTCTCAAAGAGTTCTTGCTCTTCCTTGGGTAGGCGGGGTGGTGCTGGGCCCGAGCCAAAGGGTGCTTGAGCATGTCGAGCTGAGATGCTGAATGTGCGACGGGAGAGCTGGCGGGGAAGGCGCGCGACTGTGCGCGTTGAGGCAGCCATGGTCGGTGGCTAAATGTGTGATGGGACTTTCGGGGGCGAATATACTATGCGAGGTCTGTCGCGAGTGTGGTGGAAGCTGTTTGTAAGTCGATGGCGAAGACGACCTTCTTGACTATAGATCGGGACCGCGGCTTGACGGAGCCAATCGGAGCCCTGCAGTGGCAACGGAGGTCGGATTTTCGTACATCGTGGATGTGCATCACACTTCTCTTCTACAACCTTCCAGTGTAATTGCACCGTGTTCCGAATTATTTTCGTGATATCAAAATCCCCAGTACATGTTGTGTCTAACTTTTTAGAAAGCTATCGTCCCTTCTGGGTCAGAAACGCCCACCGTCCTCTGCATCCAAACGCCAGGCTATCGTACAAAACTACAGCACATAATCTACGCAATGTATCCATTCGTCTCGCCCAGTGCCCGCGCACTCCTTCCTGCATCCAAGAACAAGTTTTGACATTCTTCCACATCGTCCACCTCGATTTGCTTATTCTCCCTTCCATTGACCTCTGCCAGTACACTCGCTGGAGCCAGGAGTTGCAGCGCATATCGCAAGCTAATCTTCTCACCAAGCGCGCTGACCTTCTCCTTAGCTGGACCCGAGATGTTGAGTTTCTCGGTCGTAACTCGGGTGGAGATGATCGACTTGATTTCCGCAGGCCCGTATGGGTGTGTTGGAATAATAAGGAGACGTGCGAGGAGATCGGTCGGGATGCCGTGCGCCGAAGGAGGCAGGTTCTCCCCACCACGAATATGTGTGTTGCCGCGGTTCGACGCGAGGATGACAAGAGGTGATAGGGGAGATTCAAGGGCGCGGTTCAGGAATGTGAAAGCCTCGAGGTCGAGCATGTGAACCTGCGCATGTTAGTCAAACCCAAACTTTAGAAAGTGCTATCTTACCTCATCGATGAAGAGTACACCAGGTACCAGGTCCGCGATACCTTGGTCAATGTACCTATTAACGACCTTATTGATCTCTAACCGCAGCTTCTCTGTGATCTCGGTCTTCTTGGGTTTCATCAGTTGTCCCATCATGCTCATGATGTCCTGCCCACCTTGCGGCCGCGCGTTGGCGACGTCTAGGTCGTGCAGAGTGACGTCTTGAACAATCTCCTTCTTCTTGTGAACATCACCCTTTGGTATAGGAACGTACTCCTCTGCCTCGAGATCGAACTCGGTCGCGTAGGCGTCCGATCGTCCGACACGCTTCACAGCACCCGTGTTGGCTTCGATGTAGATAACATCGCCTAGACGGACGCGCTCCTTCTGTATAGCCTCGTATATGGATGGGTCGAGTCGCAGCTTCTTCGTGCCCTTGGCCGACTTGAGGTTGATGAGGAGATGCGAGATGGTGCGGCCATAGCCTCCAAGCGGGTTTTCAGCTTCCTCAGGCGTAAGCTCTGTCACTTCACCCTCATAGACCTCCTTGGTTTCCTTGACGCGAAGACCTAGCGCAAAGTGTTAGTGCATCCTGTACCCACAGATTGAGTGAATGCGCACCTATTGCTCTCCTGAAGTTCTCCATAAGCGCCTCGGTCTTCTTCACCTCGGCAGAGTAGATCTCGCTGCCAACGATGGGGCAGAACGGCACCTTGGTACCCAACTCCTGGCTCACAGCCAATGCCAATGCGGTCTTTCCAGTTCCAGGGCCACCTGCGAGTAGTACAGCTCTGCCGGACATCTTCTTCGCCTTGACAAGGTCGACGACTAAACCACACGCCTGCGCTGGTTAGTACCTAGGCTGAAGCAGCGAGCGAAAGTTGCAAGTACCTCTCGTGCTGCAGCTTGGCCGACAAAGCCACCAGCTGCGGGAGTTGCGCGTCCATCGCTTGATAGGCCAAGTCCTTTGATATGGGAATGCGCCGCGGTTCTGGCTGAGCGATCGTGCGTGCTCTTGACTTCGCTGACAGGCACCGTCGTCATTTTCGGCGTCGCAAGCACTCAATTCTATCAAACGATAATGATTTGGTATCGGGATGACGGTCGAGTTCGTGTAGGCGGTGTGGCGATGGTGTGGATAGGTAGGCGCGCGTTGTTTTGGGTGTCTTGAGCTCGAAGTTTTGGGAGGGATGGCAGTTCGCGAAAGGCACAGCTAGCGCGTCGACCGCAGCGCCGGCGCTCTATGTCAGTCACCCGCTTGAATCCCCACCCTCCGCCTCCACTCACAGCAGCAGGGCATTCACTGTCCCAAGCCAGGACACAGGGCTGCCCGCAATACTGCGCACTCGCTCACTATCGCATCGCTCTCTGCATCGCAGCCTGCTGGTATGTTGAGGGCTTCCACCATCCCTCTTTCCTCCATGGCGTCGCCTATCAGTGACCGTCACACGGCGGCGCAGTCAGGGTCACTGCCTGGGCCAAGGGCCAACAGAACGTACAGTATCTGACCTTCCTCTCGCTGTGCCGAGTACTGACCTTACTACAGACCACTACCTACAGGAGCACATGTTCGCGCCCTGAGTACCGCCATCACTGATATCCCCCCCTTCGGAACATCCTCTTCCGAACAACCAACGGCCACTCCTTCACCCTGACGGAACACGGAGTATCTCACGAAACGCCCCTAGGTCCGAGACAGGTACGCATGCAAGACGCCACAGAATACACAACACCCTCAACAGCGATTTCCTTCGGATCCCGCCTCGCCTGGTTAGTCGCATCCACTCTCGAGTACACTACCGAGCCAAGACCAGAGATTATGGAACATCACACACCGAGGCACAACGCACATTTGGCAATATTATCTGGATTTTATTCAGGCCGCCGACACGAGCAGCATATTCATACAGCAAAAGACTACTCGCATGTCCCCCATTTTCGGTAGAACCACCACGCCAAATGCTTGTTACAGCGCGCAGCCCATGCCTTCGACCAAAAGGACCTAAAAAGACAAACCTCGTCACTCGTAATCCGTTGTCGGCATTGGTACCATGATCATGGCACCTCTAGGGTGGGGTCGGTGGGCAAGAGAATACTATACATCGATGTGTTCGTTGGTTGTGTGTGTGCGTGGGTTTGGTGGTAAGTGAGCGCCTGCAAGCTCGAGCAAGCACTGATGTCTGTCTCAGATCTCTCGCCATGGCTAACGACGCCCGATGCGCACCGACCGCAGTATCAAGAAGAAGGCAAGACGCGCATGTTCGATCATGTCAAAGGAGAAGGAAGGAGATCGGACCAATCATCGAACCAGGATTTCACGCGAAAACAGGAGGACTATTTGCCGAAGAAGATTACTCTTCCTCGCTCTCGGAGCCGCTGGACTCGTCGTCGTCGCTGGATGCATCATGCACTACAAAGGTTAGTTGATGATTGAGAGGTGCACGCACTAACAACTCACCAGGCGGAGACTGGCTGGATCCCGACGCACCACCCTGGAACGACTGCAGCTTCTCCTGGATCTTGCGCATGTTATCCTCCTGTTCACTCTTGCCCATAGGCTTATTCTTCTTCGGTCGAGCCGCAGCTTGCTTCGTCACCTGCCTAGGTGGCTCAAAATCATCATCAGCTACGGCACCTCCCTTGGGACCGCGCAGAGACTTGATGAACCTCAACAACTCCCGGAGCGTATCATCGTTGATCTCGTCCATGTCGAGCTCCATTTCGTCATCGTTCACGGTCGCAAGGTGTGGACAGCCATTTCTGATGATTTGGACTGCCTTACGCATATCAAGGTCACCAAGCGTACTGATGCCCTCTGAGATCTCCTGTTTCTGGGCGAAACTCAGAGGCGCAGGAGCCTTAACCTTCTTGACCGGTGCAGTCTTGATAGGCTTCGCAGGCGGTGGCACCGCAAGTGGAAGACTCTTCCGCTTTGTTGGTGGCGCGGCGGCCTTCTTCTTCTTGCCAGGCAATTTGGGTGAGGCACGTTTGCCACCAGTTTGCTGCTGCAGAAGTTGTTGCGCTGTGGCGTTCAGTTGTGCGATCTGTTGCTGGATTGCAAGAAACTGAGCCTGAGCAGGGTCTATCTCCTCCTCGTCTTCATCTTCCTCATCATCTTCGTCAGAGTAGAGGTCGCTGGGCGAGTGTTCAGGAGCAGGCGCATGCTGGGCAAGCCAGTCGGCCTTCTCCTTCCACAGGCTCTCAAACAGATCCTCCATCTTGTGCCCCATCTGGTTGACGGCGTCACCTTCAGGATTGAACTTGTAGCAATTCTGGAAAACGAGCTGCGCATCCGCGTAGAAATCCTTGGCACTTTGGTAAACGCCATTCTTCAGATTCTTCTCAATCGTACCAAAGTCCATTGGTTTCTTGATGATCTTGAGATAGGACGGAATGTTGAGCGCCACAGGATCTACCGGAGCAATGAACGGGTAAGTAACTGCACTGTACTTTGGCTTCATGAGCTCGGTAAGCACAGACTCGCAGAACTTGAGTTCTTGCGCAAACTTCTTCCTTCTCGGCTTTGCGTTGGTGTAAGGCAAATCCTTCGAAGGCCTATGAATCTCTCGCTTTGGACGACCGTCTGTAGTAGACGAATCACGTCGAATCAACGGCGTGCCGTCTTGCTGCAGAGGCCAGGCAGCCTGAGGTGAGGTTGCTGCAGGAGTAGCGACGGCAGGAGATTTGACATTAGGCGGTGCAACACGAGACTCACGTCGAGCCTTTGACGAAGTGTTTACTGATGGCTTCTTTGCCTTTGCCGGCTTAGGTGGCTCTTCAGCAGCAGCACCTCGGGGCATTTTACCCATGCCTTTCAAGAAGTAAGCGCGGAGGTTGTATCCTGCTTGAGTTACAGGATGTTGCTTGTTGTTGAAAAGCTCGCTGTTGGTAATCATCTGATCGAGGTCTGCCATGAAATCCCTTACGTAAGTGTACTTCTTGTCCTTCAACTTGTGTTCCATAGTAGTCAAGTCCATGGGGTTCTTGACAATGTCAGGGTAAGTAGGAATGTTGAGGGCTATGGGGTCAACAGGATCCTTGAACGCTATCGAAACCTTGATCTTCTTCGTGTTCCTTATCCGCTCAAGAAGAAACTTGTTCTGTGCGTCCGTCATCGGAGTGGTTGGCCATTCTTCCCAATCAACAGCCCTGTGAACACCTGATGCCTCGTGTGCAGAGTCGGAAGCCGGTCCTGGAGTACCGCCATTTGTGCTGGGTTGCTCCGTTTGATTGGGCAACTCGGGGAGCTTGAAGTCGGTCTGAGCACTCATCTCTTCTTCGGTCTTTGTGCGCTTCGCGTCGGGAATATCGTCATCATCATCCTCGCGGGGACGGACTTTGCCCGAGGACGGAGCATCTTCCATCTCACGATCTACAATAGCTGGAGACTGAGCAGCAACAGATGGGGGCGCAGTAGCCGCATCGCTGTCGGTCTTGATTGTTAGGTCGTGCATTGGCTTTGTAGGTGCTCCGGATGACTCTGTAGGTTTCGACTCGGCAGGTGCATCGGCGGTGGTATCCATGCTGTCTTCAGCTGGCGCTTCCTCTTTGGCGACAATCTGCGTCTCGGGTACTTCTTGGGTGCTAGCGGCTGTTGCCTGGGTCGCTGAGGAAAGCTCTTCGGTAGTTGCGGGTTCGTCGCGCACGTCTGAAGTTGGCGCTTCTACGGCGTTGGTAACCGTGGCACCAGTATCCTCGTCACCAAACAAGGAGTTGTTATCTTGTTGGCTGTCAGGCAGAAACTGTGCGACACCGTCGATTCCAGCAGAGACGTTGGTAGTGGGCTCGACGGCGGGCTCGACTGCAAGCACTGATGCATCCATATCTACGTGATTGCCGTTGGTGGTTGGTTTTGATTGCGCGGTTTCGTTGAGGGTTGTCTTTGGTTCTGGGTCGTCGAAGAGCACATCGTGAACGCTACTAGGTATTAGTAGGTGGCGTAAGGTGAGAGGGGAGACATGATGAAGAGTAAAGGGAAGAGCGACTTACCCGTTTGCCTCAGTGTCTACCGCCATTGCGTCTGCCGGCGCAAAAGCGCTCGCCTTAAGGTCCAGGGAGGTTTTGTCGACAGTGGGAGATGTCATTACTGCCATAGGGCCATGAAAGTGAAAGGCGGGTTTGCGCGCGGCTGACAGAGGATGTGTTGTGTTTGATGTTGTTGCTAATCTGGGGTTGTTAGCGATTGCCATTTCGGGCGCACGCGACTGCGCAAGAATACGCGTGTTGACGACGGACACGGCAATGAGAGGGGTGAGTGGGCGCGTTTGCGGTGAAAGTGGGGTCGGAGGGTGAGGCTAGCGTCGGTAAAGTGACGCGAGGGATCAGGAGGGGCAGTGAGGAATATATGTTGCAGAGGCTGAAACGCACGTGACTACGTACCAGATGGTGGCGGCGGCGAGGTATCAAAGAGTGGACGGCGGTCGGTGATGAGTCAGACTTTATAGCGCCGACGCGTTTGTTATGGTGGGCCAAGCGCGTGGAAGGCAGAGGCAATAACGGAGTGGTGCAGCTGTGCGCCCTCTCTCAAGATGTGCGACAACACAAACGTTGGTGATGTAGTGCACGGATGGTGACGGCGGGCTGGATGCTCAGACGGGCGGGCGGTGAGCGCTAGTGTCAAGCGGGTGCAGACAGACGGGGGATGGATGCGCAATATTAATTATGTCGGATTTACTTGGTGCAGCAGCCTAGACTTTTGTCGAGATGTGACGGATCTCGGACAGGTGACGAAGGTGTGGCGGGGGAGTGCGAGTAAGGTTGGGTGATCGGGAGCAGGCGCGTATTGATTGGAGGCAGATCAAGAAAATGGACTCAAGAACGTCGAAGACAGACGCGAGAGGAGAGGCATTGGGGTTAAGTAGCCCGGCCCTTCCATCTCCGAGCCAAGCCTCGCAGCAGCCCCTGACCTGCCACTAACCTGGACGGGTACGTGTCCTTGCCGACCACTTGAGCATCCGCACCCGCAACGCCGCGTTTTGGGATTATCTGCTCTCTTCCGACACCTGCGCGTTCAACTTGGACGGCTCTGCTACCCTCCCGATGACTTTGTTGCTGGAACAGATGCCGTCGACGCGTCGCAGCGAGCTCGACAGCTCTACACTATGATCCCTGTCAACAAGGCCCGTGCGTGCAGGGGTGGGTAATTCGCTCTTTCCAAATTTTTTGCGACCACTTGCATCTTGCGCATTGCTTCAGGCTGCAGCACCACAGCCTTGAACAAACTTCCGGTCAAGGCATCCACGCGCCCAGTCAGCGACCCCTCGACATCCACTGTGCCTACCACAATGCCCGCCGCAGTAGCAACCCCGAAGAATCACGACCGCCGGCCGGCGAAGAAGCCCAAGTTGGCGCAATCATCTGCGACAGTCCGTCAGAATGGCCTCAAAGCATTAGTGAATGGAAATGCGGCAAAGCCCACGGCAAAGACAAGTGGCTCAAAGAACGCGCGAGCAGACAGAGTCGACGACGCCACTGCTGTTGTCGAAGGCCCGGCCGATGCGCACATGCTGGATGCAGACGTCATTGAGATCAGCAGCGCCGAGGAAGAGAATGAAGACGATTCAGAGAGTGAGCAGGAGGATCCCACACCAAACGGCGCCGCCGCCGATGACGACAATGCCGCGGAGCCGGAAGAGCTTACATTCGGAGACCGGCTGCGCGCAGAGGGCCCTGAGCCTGTTCAAGAATCACGAATCATCAGCGTAGAAGATGCATTTGACCCCAACCCCGAGCGCACAGTAACGACGACCAAGAATCGCCCTCTTGCACCGCCGAACGCAAACTCTCTCGGCACTGTCCTTACCCAAGCCCTGCGCACCAACGACAAGGAGCTTCTCGATTCATGTCTCCAGGTTGTGGATGTAGAGTCAGTATACGCTACTGTAGAGCGGTTGCCATCGCCATTGGTTGGCACATTGTTGCAGAGGTTGGCTGAGCGACTTCACCGAAGCCCTGGCCGGGCAGGCATGTTGATGGCTTGGGTACAATGGAGTCTTGCTGTAAGCAATCCGCATCCGACTTGAAGGAGGCAACAACTGACACATCAACAGGCCCACGGTGGATACCTCGCTTCCCAACCACAAATCGTCAAGCAGCTCACCGCACTTAACAAAGTTTTGAAAGAGCGCTCGAGCGGTCTCATGCCGCTCATGTCGTTGAAAGGTCGCCTGGATATGCTCCAAGCTCAACTTGATCTGAGGAAACGGAACCAAGCCGCCAACGACGATGCCGACGAAGCGCTAGTCTACGTCGAGGGTCAGGACGACTACGTCTCCGATGATGAGTCTGTCGATGGTGCCACTGCGACCCCGAAACGATCGCGCGCGGAGATGGACGATGAAGATGAAAGCTCTTCAGACGACATGGGCCTGAACATAGAGATGGAAGACGTTTCTGATGAAGGCAGCGAAGGTTCTGACGAGGACCTTATCGACGACGAGGCGGAAGAGACGGACGATGACGAGGGCGAGGATATGTCGGAACCCATGAGCGACGACCTGGAAGATGGCGACTCCGAGAGCGGAGACGAATCGAAACCGGAGCGACGGTCAACTGCCGCACGGGCAGGACTTAAGAGCCGGCGCTGAGTATGGAAGAGGAGGTTCGTAATATTTGTACAGTCTACGACGGCCCGCGAACCAAACTGCTTGGCGCGTCCGATCATCCAAAATGGGATTCACGCATAGGCGTTCATCTAGGTGGCGTTGATACCTTACTTACGGCAATCTACACGAAGTTTAGATCTCTTCAACGCATCGCTTTTGCAGACACCGTTGGTTTGCATGTCATGGAATTAAAGGTACTTCATACAATCAGTCAGTTTGCTGTTCTGAGACACGTCTTTGCCTTCTCGTCACTCAGAGACAGTCCCTGCTGTGAAGCCTTGTCGCGTTAACTGTGCACAGCGAGCTGTCGTCTCATGGCACAATGTTCTTCTGACGCTGATATAACAACATTCTCATAACTCTGTCAACATGAAATCTAGCACACATCACCTCGACGCTGTACTCCTAAAACTTAACAGCGAACCATCCCAATCTGGACTTCATCCACAACTTCGACGCAGAGAAAACGGACAGCTTTTCAGCCATATCTACCCTGGCTAGGCGGGAAAGGTTTACGCTATAGTCTTAGATTTCAACGGCGATCTCATCGACCGCAACAAACCGTACCCAGAGCTGCGTCGCACAGCTTCAGGCCATCTTTTCCAATACAAGATACCAGCTGTCAGGAACGTGAGTCGCGTACCTTCGATTCTCCACAACTGGTTCCATTGACCATAATAGGACAAACATACCTAAAGCGTAACTCTAGCCGTTTAGATACTACACTCGCCAGTCTCTTGGCACAACGATTGCGACGAAACAAGGACCAGCAACCCCACTAAACCTCACCAACGACACTAGAGCGGAAAACCATGGTTAATAGACGCAATATTCGTCCTGCCTTTCGAAGTGAGCGCTTCACCAAAGAACAACTAGAGCAAAGAAACTTGGCTATCGGACACAAAATTCCTACGCATCACACTCGGCGCCTCACCAACGAGGAATTATCAGAGTCGAGAGATTGGACTACCAGACGTGATACCAGAAATCGGGCTAACATACCTATGGCTCCTACACTACACACCCAACGCATCGTACCTACAGATTCATCACTGACACAGCCTCAACATCTGACTGGAACGGCGTCTCCGTATACACTGATCCAAGTAGGTCATAGAAGTGACTCACGGGCTCAATTTGCTCCGCATACAAACACGTACGATGCTGACCCTAGGCCTAGGTCGAATAGACGGCGTGCGCCGACGATCGTTACCCAATGCACGGCCGACTTGGCTGAATTGAGTGAAGAGGATAAGACATTGCGTGAGTGGAAGAGGTGGATGGCGAGTAACAAGGACCCCGCTAAAGAAGCTATCGATGACTGGCGTACGGTGGAACTTCGCCTCGTAAGTAGTTGTTCCGATCTCCGGGCTCGTTTCAAACTTGATGGGGAACTCGCTGTGAACAAAGTGAGGGATAGAACATGCGAGCCCTCTTCCCACAATTTCGGCCACGGGTTTGATCGTGATGGCTTTTACGGCCGGGTTGATAACTTACTGAGACCAAGAACCATGACGGTCACGAATTCAAAAACGGGCGAGAAGAAGGTAGTGCGTTTGGATCATCACATGCGTCCTGTTCTTCGTACTGAGGAGGAGAAGGAGAGTTCTGAGACTGATAGTGACGATCTTTGGTCGCAAATTGCTCGCGACCGGAAATAGTTGAAGATGATGAAATATGATGTGAACTCAGCTGCGAGAAGTAGCAGAGCCACTGACTACAAATAGCTGATCTCCGCCCTGCGCTGGAAGCAGTTGGACGACAACAAGCTGTTAGGCGTCGAACAGCTGGGTGATGACGAGGTGCGCAAACTAATCCGAGACATTGCTTTGGAGAGCAAGTAATCTTCCGGATCGAGAATCGGGTCAGCTACATATGTGAGTCCCAGCCAGGTGAAATGCATAGTGAGTCGAATCACATATCTACATTGAGCTAGATGGTTACAGTACCTCAGTCTCATTGATGCTTGTAAAATCCAACATGATCGAGTCTTTGTCTTCTTCCTCGATTTTACTACTCATATCACGTCTTTGTTCTACGCATATTCCGAAAAACAATGCCCTTGTCAAACTAGACCTTAATATACTACTTATGTGATAAGAACAACATACGTACCTGACCATTTTCTACCATATAACTCAGCTCCAATGTACATCTACGCAGCACTTATTCTCTATCGACTGACATGTCTTCCTTGGAAGGCACCTTCCCAGTCAACACCACTCACACCAACCAGCCTTCGACCCACCGCCCCTCGGCCTATCATCCACCGATCTGTCATTCGTCGGCGCATCATCCGTTGGCCCATTGTCCGTCCACGTCCTATGATGAAGTCCACACAAAAAGTGTCCACGATGCCTCGACGTCGTCAGGACATAACCATTACCACTAATGCTCCAGTTCAACAGACCTTCCTCCTCAGTCCAACTCCCACGACCACAACCTTCCATGTCAATTCACCTACCCTCCCCCCATCTGCTGGGTGCCAAACTTTCCTCCTCAGCGCCACTCCGTCTTCGAGCTCAACAAGTATTCGTGGCGATTCTCCTGTTCTGCCTCCATCTCCCGTATTACCTCCATCACCACACCTCGCTCTCTTCCGCAATCGTCATCTCTCCACACCCATATCCACACTACCAGCCTATCCGACACCTCGTAGCTTCCACGATGACGGTATAAACTCCAACCCTCCACTATCCGTTCACTCGTCTACTAGAACAGACTTGTCTACTGCCGAAACAGCCGTGGAAAGCAATTTGGCACCCCAAACGACACATTTAAGTGACATTCTTCCCAGCGATATAGACCTCTATGCTGAAGAACATGAAAATGGCGGAGATGCGATACGGTGGAGTACAGACCTTACTGAAGAACTGCTAAATGTTGCTATAGAACCGGATGTCGCTATCGAACAATTCGAGGAGTCGATACAAGTTGAAGCAATACCTGTCCGAGAAGAAAACGTGGATGGTGTGGTATTGGGCCCAGAGATTCAGGGCGCATTACCGATTATCAAGGGACCGGACTTTAACTACTACCCGCCGCCGTCGCATTACCTGCAGCCACCGTCGCACCCAGCGGCGAGGGAGAGTGGGTACCATAAAATGATTCAAAGGCCGAGTCGTAAACTAGTGAAGAAGAATAGGGGTGACGGTAGTGGTAATGGTTTGAGGATTCTATGGAAGAGAATACAACGAAAAATTGAGAAGATGAAGAAGTCATAGTTATACATGCTGTGCTTGCTATTAGTATCTCATAGACACAGTCTCGTGATCGATGGATCGCTGGCGACTGAATAAATATCAATCTCGATGTCTCTTGCACTAACTTTCATCGGTTCTTCACTGCATCTACACATCACTATCGATCACGGCCTCAACATCAGATGGAGAGATCTCATACAAAGCTAAGCCACATCCGGCTCAAACCACATCAATTCAAAGACTACACAAGAAACAGTATCTTAATCCCCTAGGGTATCGTATCAACAATCTCCCTCCCCCTCTTCTCCCACTAGCAAGATTTCACTCTCTACAAGAAGAGAGCAGCAACGGCACCCACACCGGCAAGCGCACCGCCGACCTTGAGGCCGGAAGCAGCGCCAGTGAACTCGGGGTAAGGAGCACCGGTTCCGCTACCGCTGGGGGCAGCAGTGCCGGAAGCGACGGGCATGGTGCCGACGGAAGACGCATCGGGAACCATGGGAACGCCGGTGCCGCCCATGACGGGGGCGGGGGACGAGGGGGTAGCGGCCATGGGGGTGGTGGTGGGGTAGTAGGCGCTGGACATGGAGGGGGCGACGGGGGTGTGTGCCAGAGTCCTGGAGGGAGTTGTTAATGATCCGAATATACACGAGAAGGGATTGAATGTGACAGGATGGCAGGGATATGTAAGGGCAGACCTACTCGGTGACGGTGACAGTGACGGCAGCAGAGCAGACCTCCTCAGAAGCAGAGGGGTACTGAGCAGCGACAGCTGCGATGAGAGAAGCGGCGACGATGGAGAAACGCATTTTGATGGTTGATGGTTTGTTGAAAGGTGTTGGTGAATGTAAGAAGATGGGTATCAAAAGAGACAAACGTCGAGTTGTTGGTAGTAAAGACTGTGGTTGGACTTGGCTTGCAAGGTAAAAAAGAGTGGCTAATAGTATACTAAGTACTATTGATTATTGGAGATCGTAGGATGAAGAAGAATGAGAGGTAGGACACGAGGCGGTACACAGGGTCTTATACAGGGCTCATATTAGCAGTCATATAACGGAGAGATGGAAGGGTGGTATCGCATGTGGGTTAGGACGCGCCAGCCTCGCTCAACGATCGACTGCAGTGATTCATTTCCTCGCGGCTGCTGGTCTAGATTGGATGGGAGATCCTTGCACGACAAGTGTGGCGAGCTACGTGAAAGGTTCACAGGTTGGGATGAGCGATAGCGGAGATTGTGTTGGTTGATCGACGGGTGGTAGGAGCGCGATGCTTGAAGTTTTGAAAGCCGTAAAGTTGCGTCAATGGTAGTGGGGGAGTGTTGCGCGTCTTCTGGGCTTTTTGTGGTTTCCGTTTGCGCGCATAACTTTGCGTTGTACTTTTTTTCGTTTCACAGTCGTTGAATTCTTTGGCATGAAGGCATTCGACGTGTCTTTGAAGAACATGTTGTTTCGAAACATCCCCAATCAAACCACCAACTAACAAAGCGGCCGACATATGAAGGTCATTTTGATAGGAGCGGCACGATATTAGCACGCGGCGCCTTCCACCATTCTGAGACGTTGGTGGACCCCTGACGCTAGCCCCTTTCCGTTTAGGCTACTTGCGTGAACATGAATGTTCCGCAGGTAAGGAAATGTACCTGTCGATCTTGCCTCTTATTCTCGCTCAAATCCGCTTTTATGCATGAAAGGAGACCGCGAGCTGTGGGCGGGGAGTCGCAGACGTCATACTGGGAGAGCAAAGGTATTGCGACGAGAAAACCATAGTAAGCTGATCGTCAAGTAGACAGAAGGTGATGTGAGGAACTTCGTATTCGCTAATCTAGCAACGAACAGAAATCCGGGGTATACCGTATTGCTCTAGAGTCGTTAGTGATGCCGCGTTCCGGTGGCTGCAACACTGACCCAGTATGAATACACCTCCAACGCCAGACATGCTTACGCCTCAGCAGCCGAAAAATGCCAAAATCAGCTCTACTTCACCCTGCCCATGATCGGATCAGGAGGCGACTCTTCCCCAATAGGTTCTGCAGCCTTTGCTTTAACCGCATTCAACATGCTCCGGTCAAAGTCGTCCCTCGTCTTCAATACAGCTTCCACCCATGTAATAGTAACATCGCGATAAGCAGTCTTGAACTCAACGTACGCAAACTGCACTTGCGACTTGTCGCATTCAAGCAGCTTGAGGAACTCCTGCACAGCGCGCCATCGCTGCATGATGTCGGCACCTTGCTCGCCGAATGTCCTGAACCATTCGAATGCTGTGAGAAGATCGTCCTTCATCTTTGCTGCAAACTGGTCCGTTCTCTTGAACTTGGCACCCTTGTTGCGCACGGCCCCAAGATACTGAACAAGCAACTCATCGGCGAGAGAGTCGATGATAAGATCCCGCAGCGAGCGGTGAATGCGGGGGATAAACTCCTCCACATAGTCTTTGAAAGTTGTGATGATAGAAGCCATATCAGTCCTCGAGTACCACTCCGGTGTAAAGAACTTGCCAAGCACAGGCTTGAGATCGACAATAAAGATGAGCTCGCTAAAAACTTGTATGCAGTGAGATGAAATGTCGATATAACCGTTCTTCGCTTCATCCACGTTCCTGGCCAGCTTGTCGATCATGTAGTCTTGCGAGACGATGGGCGTGACTTCGCGTTCAAAGACGGTCAAGAACGAGGCTCCACCACTACCATCAATATCGTCGTCAATGCAAATGATTTGGTCATTTGCGAGCGCGATAAGCCATTCTTGCAAGACATAGGTCTCATCCTCGTCTTGCACGAAATTTGGTCCGAGATATTTAGTCTTTTCATCATCAATGAGCTGAGTCCATATACGCTGGCGAGACAACAAGGCACGGAACATGGCATCAACGACACCATCAGCAACGTCAGGACGCTGACTACTGGCGGCGACACCAATGTTCTGGCTGAAGAGTGTCCACATATCTCCCAGTGACCTAGTTTGGGTGATGCCGTCAAAGTTGGTCTCGTATGCTGTCTTGTCTTGCTCCAGGAACCTTTGTCTATCTTGGTTATTGATGCGTTCCATATATTGGTCGACGGCCTGGATGATGACGGAGCGATAGGTACGTATCAGCTCAGGACTGCGGTTGTCGATGACATGCGGCTGCAGTTGCTCTTCTGAGTACCCAAGCTTCTGCATCTTCACGTAGTACTTGTCCACCCAGTTGATGACAGCTAGCAGATATTGCGGTCCGAGGGCTTCATCGTCAGCAAACTCCATAAGAAAGTCGTGCATCTGCTTGTGGTAGATGTTGGTGTATGTGTCGAAGATCTTCCACTTTTTGGGCATAAGATCGACCATGCCCAACTTGACTGTGTTGAGGTTGTTAAAGTACCATTTGAAGGACTTTTCAATCTTGTCCGGGTCTTGCATGAATTCTTCTCTCGCCGCGTCCATTTCCGCCTTGCAAACGTATTCGATGGAAGTAATGAACTTTTCCTTGTAGCCACGAAGCTCCTTGGGTCCTTGGGTAATGGACTTGAAGCGAGACGCAAGATCACCGAACTCCCTCTGCGCATCCTGCAGGGCCTTGATCTTCTTGTCCGTCTTCTCTTCTTCCTCGACTACGACGGCCAAACGAACCACCATGCCTACATTATCGGTCTGCACCAGCTGTATCAGGTTTATGCATGCCTCCCCGACATGTCTGTCAAACCACTCTACGACGTCATCCAAGCGCGCGAAGAGGTCTTGGACGGTGACGCCGCTCTCTAGTGTGAGATTGTCGATGAGCTCGGTGGAGGTATCGCTGTTCTTGATCTGGCCCATGGCCTCGTCGCGGATGTCTCGTAGCTGCGTCAGGCCGTAGTGAACTTGCAACAAATTGGGCTGGTTGGCGGGGTCTTCGTCGTCCTGTGCCAGCAGGATCTCGAGGTTCTCCAGGCGGTCTTCGAAAGCCTCGATGTCGTTGCGCATCTTCTCGACGGATTCAAAGTTCTTGTGTGTTTGGGCTACCAAGTTAATGTGCGGGAAGTCCTGAATCATATTCTGGGCCTCGGCGCATAGCTTGTCTATCTTCATCATCTCCTCCTTGATCAGGTTGACGGTGCGCTGGCCCTCGGTGATGCTGCTCATGCCCGACTGGGTCAACTCGAGCTGCTCCTTGAGACCATGGCGGAGCTGGCCGTCGACGGCCGCCTTCTTGCGCATGAATTCGGCCTTGAGTCCGGGTATCTTGTCGAGGTCCTCCGGGTGTCGCAGCAGCTCCGCGAGCTTGACCGTCGCCGACTCGACATCGTCCATGGTGCTAGACGTGGATCAATTTGGCAGGCACGCGCCCATGGTAGGGGGAAGGTGGCAGACGGGGTGGTGCTATAGGAAGGCGGGCGGGCGGCGTGTTGCTATACGTGTTCGGAGCTTTTGGTGATGTGAATGGACGGCGGGTAGTAGTAGTCTGGGGCTGATGCAGGTCGCGGGCTAGCGTGCCGGAGGTGCGCTGCGGGCAAAAGTTCCCACCCCGCCACTTCCTCGCAGTCGCCGACAAACTCATCCGCTCTTTGCACGCACGCGCACGCCCACAAGACCATGGCCGACGAAGAAGTCAACCTCTACGACGAAGTCGAGATCGAAGACTGTTTCTACGACGAGACTCTGCAGATCTACCACCACCCATGTCCATGTGGCGACCGCTTCGAGATTTCCATCTATGACATGCGCGACGGAGAAGACATTGCGCGCTGCCCCAGCTGTAGTCTGATGATACGCATCATCTTCGACCCGGTATGCTGTGCCCGTCCTCACATGTCAGAAGCGAAGACTAATATGCGACAGTCCGATCTCCCGCCCGAGAACGACGATGCGCCCAAGAGCGTTGCGATTACCGCCTAGATTCCCCAGTTCCTATTTTCATACTGTCGCAGGAGGACCTCATCCTAGCCTCTCAGCATCTACGGCGTTGTAATGCATATATCGGGCGTTTGAAGCATGTTGGTTATACTATGTGACCGCGGCCTGGGAAGCAGAGTTGAGCGTGCGCAATCAAACTTCATTGTCGCTATTCGCTATTCGCTATTCGATATTGGCTACCGTTGAATCATGTGTGCTCAGGGCAACACTGTGTTAGATGGAGCGTGTGCTACCAAGCATAGCCCGCTTGTTCTAACGCGGGACCTCATCGTCAACACTGACGTCAACGCCCAGCTCTTTCCTGAGAATCTCAGTCAGCGAGCTGCCGTCCCTCATGTACACCCAGTCGCCGATGCCTCCACCCTCCTTGAAGTCCATGCCCTCTTGTGCCACGACCCAGTCGAAACGCTTGGGACCGGATATCGGGGAGCTGAGCCAGATCTGCTTGTTTGGGGGTTGCTTGTTCAGAACGAAGGTATTCTGTTGCGAAGTGACTTCGAGGACGCCGGCCTGTGGTGGGATTAGTGTCAAGTGCTGGAGTATGCTGTGTAGTGTAGGTTTACCGAGTAATCTACTTCAATCGCGGGGTCGTTCTCCTGAGCCTCCTCTAACCTCTGCAGCAGCTCGCCCAGGTAGTGGTCTGCGCGCTCGTGGAACTCCTCTATTGAGAGCTCGGTCGGCTTGCCAGGCTCGTCGTGGGCCTCGCTCTCCTTTGGCTTGGGGTCTTCTGAGTCGGGCATCATGCCCACTCTCATGCCCATTGATGCGTGGAAGCTGCGTACCGGGGCGGCATGGCTGATAGCTGGGGCCCTGCTAGCGATGATGCAATTGACGGGCGACTGGACGCGAGGAGAAGTGCGGGCGACGCGACGGATGGCTGTGCCGGCAAATCGAGTGACTGGCTTCATTGTGATGGATGTGGAATGGGTAGAGAGCAATTGATAGAATTATTCTTGGTGGTGGTGGAGATTGGCGAGTAGCGGACGGGAGAGAGGCTTCTGTTCCTGGGCTGGAAGCAACTGGAGCTGGAGCATGGACCCTCGTCCATCTCCCCGCATCCTTCGGCGGGACATTGTCCAAAAGCCAATAGCAACACCACCAAACATCACCACCATGATTAACGCCGTCCTTGTCTTCAACAACGCCGGCCAGCCGCGCCTGACCAAGTTCTACACACAGCTGGTATTACACGACATGTCATCTAGCATCGTGCTGCGAGACTGACTGGCTGACCACCGCCCAGGAAACCAGCGTCCAGCAGCGACTCATTTCCGAGATCTTCACCCTCGTCGCCAACCGTCCAAACTCAGCGTGTAACTTCTTGCCGTATGTCGCCTCGTGCATTCAGCCCCGCATCTCCCTAACACACGTCTAGCCTCCCACCGCTCCTCGCCAGCAGCTCCAAATCTAGCACGCCCACGACTCCTCACAACGACACACCGTCACTCGTCACCTACCGCCACTATGCGACCCTCTACTTTATCGTAATTTCCACGTCTACCGAATCGCCTCTCGCGCTCCTCGATCTTATCCAGGTCTTTGTGCAGGCGCTCGACGGCCTCTTTGAAAACGTATGCGAGCTAGATCTGATTTTCAACTTCGAGACACTACATGCGACACTGGGTGAGATGATAGTAGGCGGCGTGGTGGTGGAGACGCAGTTAGACAAGGTCATTCAAGGCGTCAAGGCACAGGGAAGAGTAGCCAAGAGGCCCGTCAACGAAGGGAAGAACATTGGTGGAGGAGGAGGCGGTGGTGGTGTCATGGGCGGACTGACATTCGGCGGTCTGGGAAGAGGAGACGGTATGTGGGCTGGGAGATGATGAAGATATTGCACGAGGTTTGCGATGCCAGAACTTTCACCGTCAAAACCATTGGACCCCCCAGCATTACCCGGCAGCCCACATCACTACGCTTCCATCGTACCAAAAAGCGACAAGCAACGGCCGAACTAGGACTTGTTGCTCGAACAGGGCTTGGTTCTGGATCTGGCCCATGGAACGCTGTCAGACTCGGCCCTACTCCAGACGCGCTCATGCCATCCACACCGACTCGGTAGACATTGATATAATTCTTCCAGGCATTACGAGTCGTCTACAGATGCATGGCGCATGCTTACACAATCTGTGGGGTTACTTCAGGAAATTCCCCCGGACCGGGTAAACACATGGTAAAGGTCAAGGGTCGGGAGATGTTCGAAACGTCGCGCGTGGAGCCTTTGCCGAGCTGGGATTAATGGAAACAAGCTTTTAATCTATACGCCTTTAGTTCCCTTCCAAGCACGACTAGAGGGCGAATAACAACCGTGGGCTCTTCATCTATGCTGTGGCGCCAAAGATGTGGGGAGAAACACTTTATTCCAGAACTGCGTGACCTCATTTCCGCTGCTGCTGATTGCTGGATAGTTTCGGGGAGATCCTCTCAATGCATACGGCATCCCTTGAACCGCACACACGCTTCGGCTGAAGACAAGCTTTATAAGAGGGCCCAATCCCAAGACAATTGAAACCACCCATCCATTCATTCATTCTCTAGTCAACACCATGCGCTTCCTCACTGCTGTCACCAGCTTCCTGTCTGTAGCCGCAGCGGCGACTCTCGGCAAACGTGCCGTGACGCCTGGCACCCTCTCCCAAGTCACCTCATTCGGTGCTGCGCCTACCAAAGCGGGCTTCTATATCTATGTGCCCAAGAAGCTTGCGGCCTCACCAGGAGTCATCGTTGCTATTCACTACTGCACTGGATCAGCGCAAGCATACTACACTGGCAGCCCTTACAAGACGTTGTCTGAGCAGTATGGCTTCATTGTCATCTACCCATCTTCCCCTCATGAGGGTACTTGCTGGGATGTTAGCAGCAAGGCGACGCTTAGCCACGAGGGTGGAGGAGACAGCAACACCATTGCCAACATGGTCAAGTGGACTGTCAGCCAGTACAAAGCGGATGCTTCCAAGGTCTTCGTTACCGGTTCCAGCAGTGGCGCTATGATGACCGTATGTTCGTTCGAATTCCACTTGTATTGACATGCTAACGTCTCTTCAGAACGTCATGGCAGCAACCTACCCTGAACTCTTCAAGGGCGCCATTGTCTACTCAGGTGTAAGCGCCGGCTGCTTCGTCTCTGCATCGGGTGGTGTCGACGCCTGGAACAGCACCTGCGCTCAGGGTAACTCTATCGCCACCCCTGCAGCCTGGGCCAATGTTGTCAAGAACATGTACCCCAGCTACACTGGTGCTCGTCCCAAGATGCAGATCTACCACGGTAGCGCAGACACTACCCTTCGCCCGCAGAACTACCAGGAGACGATGAAGCAATGGGTAAGTAGTTACGCGGTTGTCTGATGAGTCAGTCAAATGCTAACGAGACACAGGCTGGCGTTTTCGGCTACGACTACAACAAGCCGCAGAGCACAAAGGCCAATGACCCCCAAAGCGGTTACACGAGGACTATCTATGGTCCTAATGTCCAGGGTATCTATGCACAGAATGTTGGACACACCGTGCCTATTCGGGGCGCGGACGACATGAAGTTCTTCGGCTTTGCCTAGGTCTGTGAAAGCGCAAAGATCTGCCATGCACAGTAGCCAAGTCCTTACCGTGGCAGTATCGACGACACAGAGACCTTTCGATGTACATATTCCATCACTGCGTATATCACCGAGATATGGCAGAAATATATACTTTCTCTCCCCCTGTTCATTGAACTTTGCTTTCCTGTTGCACTCACCACTAGAATCTTATTCACGAAGCCTATCGCTCATCCAGCTTCCTTACTCCGAAAAAGACGTCCCCAACGTTTGCGTTTCGGCAACTCGTCTTCATCGCTACTCCAGTCAAACTTACTACTGAGTTCTGGCGTCGGTCCATACACGGGACTTTCCCCTATTCCACTATCATACCGCTTTCTGCCTAGTTGCGGCATAGGCTCAGGGTGCGCGTGTGCTAAAGGACTGATACCAATATGCCTACCTGAATGCAGACTACAACCATTCTTGCGATACTGCTCATTCATGTGCACTTCGTCGTTATCCCAGTATTTCTGACTGAGCTCATGGACACGGCGAGAAGGAACGTAATCTTCATATTCACTCTCAACACGATGCCTACCACCGGTATATCGATTGTCATTTGCTGTTTGCATACGCTCATAACCCTCCTCCGTGAAATCGAAAATTGGTCCTAATGCCGCGCGAGTAGCATTTGCCGTCTCGGAAACCTTTGTGCGCCATTCGCGACTCAAGTTAGGTTGTTCTTGATATGCTGTTTTCCGGAGAGTGTTGTATGAAGAAGAGGGTAGTGAGGGTTGAGCGAAATGGGATTCTAAACGTGAGCGGTCTTGCAGTTTTACTAAGTAACGATATTCATCGTTAGGGAGGTGGTCTGAGGGGATGGTTGGGCGGCAATGGAGGGCTGGGTGGTAGGATCTGGGGTAATACTCTGTGGTTGTGTACGTGTAGGAGGATGTTGGTGACATTGCCAGTGTGATTGAGGGTTCTGGTGCATTTTTGGGGTGTTGTTGTCGTTGTTTGGAACCTATGCGGAATAAAGAGATTATTTGGCATTGAAGGGAAAACGTCTCTAGAGTCTATGGTGGAAGATGTTATGTGTGTATAGTGTTACTGGAGTCGCGCCGTACGGTTTGTGAACGCTGGTAACTGAGTGGGCAGAAGTGCTAACATCGTGAACTTACGATATTATCATTCTTCTAATCGAAGCACTCATACACGAAACCAATTACTAGAAACTCCTGAGCAGTCTCAACGGTACCCCTACCTGATGGTAAACTGTTGTCCTTCTCTATATTTCATAATTAGCATGGTTCCGGGCCTGCAAGGTCAGGTCTACGACGATCCCGTCGGTTGGCTCTTCGTATCAGCCATCATTAGTCAAAACCCGCGTCACCGAGACTAAAATTGCTAGGCTACACTGGAGACACTATCTGACATGTGCTTTGATGGCTTGTGGATGTCGCGACATGAAGCTTGCCGTGCGTACCTACGGGAACGATGACGTAACGATCCCTTCCCAGCCTCTTCGACCAGAAGTAACGCCGGATTTCATCTTCCACGTCCTTTTGCATCATCGTCACAACGCAACTGATATTGTCGGCTGATGTTGGAAACAATGGTTGTTGCTTGTCTCGATGTTGATCCTTGATGGATGTGGTGAAGAAGCAAAGTTCTCGTGGTGGCGATGAAGGCGAAAACTCGGCTGCTTCGGCAATCTGTACTCAACGGTACCACTTGCAACAAACTGCGCACCACCTGTCTAATATACTTTTACTGAAGCCTATCGGAAGAAGCTATAAGCTAGGGGTCTAGAAGAATTTGGTCCAGAGCACGAAGAGATTGGATATGGCGTCTGCAGCTGTCAACGGCGATCGAGCGACAGATCTTACAGAGACTGTTGTCACGCTTCAGCAAACGATACGGAAGTTTATAAGAGACGCAAAAGCAGGACGCGAGGGCTTTGTGTTAAGACCAGTAGCTCCTACCAACGATCAAGCGAACAAGGCATACGTAAGCGTAACGTCTGCTGACGAGGAGACGGAGGATCAATTGCAAGTTTTGAAAGAACGGCTACAGATCTCAGAACAGCAGCTGCGATCCAGAGGTGACTGGCAGCCACCACAACAGCTACCCAATCTGTCAATATCGGCTATTCTGGACCTCGCTGACCTTTCCAACGCTGTTGCGCTATTGGATCATTTGATCAACTCTACAAAATCAACTCAACAGAATACTCCACAAACTACCTTGTCATCGTACACCTGGACTTGGGATCCCACATGGCATGAGTTCTACACCTACATACCCGCTCAACAGGTCTGGGTCTATCTTTCACGATGGAAGTTAAACGAAATCAGAAACGTTTGGGAGCACGTGAGCATGTCTGGTGTCAATCTGATGCCGAATGTTGCGGCAGAGATGCTTGGTGCTTGGGAAGACTGGGTTTGGGATCCTACTTGGCAACGGTGGTATCTGCAGGTGTACGAATTTGATACTAGCGAGAAGAGCCAGATCTTTGCAAGTCCATGGCGCATACGCGACGACGGCGAATGGGTCTATGTTGGCGAAACAGAGGTTGTAATCTAGCGGGATTCGTCTCTTTGATACCGGTGCGATACCATGGACGACATGACCTGCACTAGCAATAGTCTGTTGAACACCGAGACACATGAGCATTGGGCGTGAACCACGCATGTGAGACTAAGAGGTTAGTTCGGCGAACAACAACAAAGCCCAGAACTTCTTTCTTCACAAAGTGAGCTTGCTATTATATCCAACAACTCCTCCAGCAGTTCACTGTTTTCTGACGTCGTTCACACATGTTTTAAGAACGTAGACAGAGCGATGAATAGTCAAACAAGCACACGCGTGGTCACACATACCGGGACACGCGCACAACTTCGGCCTGTGGCCGTAGAGGACTATTTTTCTTACCGGCCATCGCTCAAAAGCAACCATGGACGTTATCCACCACCATTGCTTCTCAGCAACAAAGAGCCTTGCGGACCACTTGCTGCGGGCCCTAGAGAATGGAAATACACGAAGCTGTCAACACGCTCTCCGGCTTTGGAGTCGTGTCGCGATGATCATGGTGTTAGGTTCAAGCTGCGTGTTACTGTTCGAGATGTGCTGCTGGGTTGTAAATGGCATAAGTTGTTAGACGAAGACGCACCACTATACAGGGCCAAGGATCATTGTCTGAAATATCTAGAGGTAACTTACAAGTCTTCCAAAGAATGCATGGCGAAATTTGGACGGCGTTTACGCAACTTCTGGACTTGGCTTTGGCGAAAGCTAGTCTTCATGCTACTGGAGTTGGAAGAATTGGATAACGATGCCCTGTATGTTTACTGGGAAGATATCGAGCCGGGGATAATGTTCGACACAGAAGATGTTCAGCACCTGTTGGCCCATACGATCTAGCATGTGAGCGGACGGAAGTAACCACTGAAATATGCGTTAACAATCAGGAAGTGATAGAAATGCAGACCGTAGCCTCAAATCTGCGAAAAACCGACCTGCTTAATGGGTATTATTTTCGTACTTTGCCTGCTTCGCCTGCTGTGACGCTGCCCTTCGCCGTACTTCCCTCGTACGATCCCGTCGATCGAAACATCAAAACGGCTGATTTCTAGAATCCTGGAAAGCCAGAATCTTCCGACCACGATCTAGTACCAACGATCTGGGACGCCTAAGTCCTAAGTGGGGCATGCGTTAAAGGACCGGCTCGCTAGCGGCAATGTACTTCGTAGAGAGTATGCCACGATCAGTGGCGATGTGACATCGTTATACTACCACACAGTGAGTGATACGAACCCTCTCTGTCTAGAGGAAAAAAGGTATCCGGTAATCGTAGGCTGATAGCAGCCATGTATAGTGCGACGAGAGGCGCCTGAGGTCAGTTGCACTCGTCGATGCCTTTATTTCCGGCGCCCCTCGGTTCCTGATAAACCGCGGTCTAGCCTGCAGGATTGGAGGCCTGGAAACAACGTAGGCAGATAAATGCCAGCTTCGTATTGGTATGAGCATACTAAGAACGAGGAAGGAAGGCTGTATGTAACGTGCTGCGATGGTCCCCTACGCGGGTGGAAGATCTAGGCAGCTTTTAGTATAGTTGCAAGCCACCAACGTTGCGTTACCGGATAGGATACGGCAAGGAAGGCATCCGTCTCCGGCACATTGCTGTTCTGTCTAGTGGCATTAGTTTCTCCTAATAGTACCTGCAGCAGACCTTCCTTGAGAATCCGATGTGTTGGCGCAGGCAAACACGATGGCACGGACTCTCTAGTGGAGCTTCCTAACCATACCATGTGGAGCGTAGCAAGCCACAACATCACTGTACACTAAGGATTTGTGGAGATGACCTGATTGAAGGTGAGAGTCTGTACGAAGTGGTATGTTAGACGCTGTGCTAGCTGCAGAGCGATTATAAAGGTTATCCCCGAAGCATAGATTCGCAAAACACCTCTCTACTTCTCACTCCCAATTCTTCCTTCATCCGCGACTACCACCCATCATGAAGACTGCGCCCCTCCTCCTCGCACCTATGCTGGCTGTAGCTAGTCCACTGAACCAGAGAGCGGCTCCGAGACCAGAGGGCAGCATTGATGTGCTCTTCAGAGAGGTCGGCAAAATTTACTTCGGCACGGCTACTGAGTTTGCTCGACTATCTGAAGGAGAGAATCAAGGCATCATCAGCGCCGATTTTGGCCAAGTAACACCAGAATACACAATGAAATGGGCCGAGACTCAACCAGAACGCAACGTTATGACTCTGGACAAGGCGGACAATCTTGTCAAATGGGCTGTAGCGAACCAGAAGAGTATCCGCGGCCACACACTGCTGTGGTGGGACTCGATTCCAGACTATGTGAGAGCCATAAAAGATAAACAAGGGATGAGGGACGCGATCACAGACCATGTGACGAGGTTGGTAGGGCGTGACGGCTGGAAGGGCAAGATCCGAGCGTGGGATGTGGTCAACGAGGCGATTGAGGGAGACCATATGCGCAGCAATCCGTTCTACGATGTCTTGTAAGTGCACTCGAATAAGCGACAAAGGCGTACTAAGTTTGAAAAAGGGGAGATGAGTACATCAAAGTCGCCTTCGAAGCTGCTCGCGCTGCCGATCCGGACGCTAAATTGTACATCAACGATTATAATCTAGAGGATGCGACGTACGCAGAACACGAGTTCATGGTCGCTAAAGTGAATGAGTGGAATGGCAAATGGCAGGCTGGTGGAAGACCTTTGATCGATGGAATCGGATCCCAGACACACCTTGACGCAGGTATGTCCATTTCATTTGTCCATTACAGCCTCATAAGCATACTAATAGTGATGAATAGGTCATGCTTCTGCTGTGGAAGGCGCGCTGAGATCCTTAGCCGCGGCTAACGTTGCTGAAGTCGCAATCACCGAGCTGGATATTCAAGGAGCTAACCCGCAAGAATACCGGGATGTCGTCAAATACTGTTATTGGGTACCTCACTGCGTCGGCGTAACTACATGGGGTGTCCGTGACAACGAGGCCTCGGGCAAGAACACCCCCGATGAGACACCTCTTCTTTTCGATTCGAATTGGGCCGCAAAGGATGCCTATTTCGCAATCCGAGACTACCTCGCAGATCTACCTAAAGTAGACCGTAACTGAAAGCAAGGGGTAGATAACTTGTACACGATGGTAACGAATGACGAGCTTCCAGTCTACACACTTAATTAGCTGCAATGACAACAGGCTGACCAGCCACCTGTATAACAGCTCCATTAGCATAACCTTGGTTTGCTTCGTAACCATAATGTCTCGTCATCTCTATCAGTCTGGTAGTCTTGTATAGCTCTGATCTCCTTTTGATTGCATCGTTCCTTATTAAAGCTTTATATAGTTCGACAAGTCAATGATCCGCAGATGCGATGTGCCGAGGTGCATGCGAAGCCCTATTAACAATATGAAGCTGTACCATTAGTTGACAGGAAGCGCGACCAGACGATGAGAGAACTTGGAGCTGTCATCGAGGACGAAGATAATTGGAATGTGGGTAAGTCGGAGCACTGGAAGCTCGTCGCGAAAGAAAGCGAGGTGCTTGCCAATTCAGGACCATGACGTAAGCTCCCTGCTAGTCTCTCCTTCTGTTTCATGCGCGCGCGTTCCACTTTCATCCTATTTTACAACAACCCTCGATTTGTTGTTGCGCCGCTTGTGACCACAGTCGCTGTCGAACGCGAGTACCCGTCATGGACATTGCTGGCTGTCCAGGCGATCGTTGACCATCAGTCTAACCCCTGCTTCCAGCCACCTACCGAAGATGTTAGATTAGGCGATCTATCCGTCGAGACTACTCCGCAATCCCACCCACAACTGTTGGAGCTTTGCTCGGCAGACGCAGTTTACAGGGCATCTTGATTGTGATAACTGCCGGTATGATCTGGGTATCCCACCTAGCATACCGAGAGGCGGGCACTCAGACTACTGGCTAATACCAGAAATTCACCCACGATATTGGGTATCTGCCCTTGCGTCAGCTGCACCCCACAATGCGCTTTCGCAGATATGAGCACTGCGGAGACTTGCTCACCTGCTGGTATAACGCCGACTGATAACAGCATATTGTTGCGCTGGTCCCAGTCTCATTCTCTTGTGATCACACGGCGCCATGTTCGCTTTTCTTGCAATTGTACTGTTCGCACCAACACAATTGCATGCTCTGCTGCATCATCTCGCAGTTGGTACCACGAACGGACAGGCTTTGTACTCGCTGGAGTTGGACGATGAGTCCAGGATGGTATACGCTATCCAGGCGAGAGACGCGAGTGGACCGTCGCCGTCTCTGGCTCTCGATGTCCGTACTTTGGTCTCCGATACGAGTCGAATCCGTTGACATATAAGCAAGCGTTCAAAGCAGCACCTCTTCAGCAGCCGTCCGCAAGATGGAACCCTGACCCGCCATTCCATTGCCCCAACATATGAGCTCATCAGCGAAGGAACTATGGAAATACCATCATCTTGTCAGTTCTTTTTGCAGCATCTACATGGATCCATCTAATGATGTTCAGGTAACACTACTAGCTTTGAGTCCCTCAAGCTGAGCTCTTCGACACAGAATACGGCGATATGGGGTACCGCTAGTACTGGTACCTGCAGCATTGTATTTGGTCTGACGCCAGACGGTTACAAAACCCTACGCTCAAAAGAAATCGCCGGTGATGTGCACTCTATCGCTTGGAGCCCTAGCGGTCGCAATCTGCACGCGCTCGATTCACACAGTTCCCAGCAGCTTTCGACATCCATTTCTAACTTTCGCATATCCGAGGACCCAAGTTTGCAGGACGTGGTTGGTGTTGACATTCTTGGTAATGTCACGAACGCTTCGCAGATTGTCGCGCACCCCACAGAGACCTTGATGTATATCGCTACCAAGGACGCAAATGTGCTAGTCGTCTTATCGTTGGCAGGTGACACTCTTGTGAACAACTCTACTGTTGTCCTACGATACAGGTTGCTACCGTCTTCTCTGGATCCGACAGAGTTTCATACCACATCCCTGGCCATTTCCGCCTCCAAAGCCACTCTGTGGACACTTTCACAGTCATCTCGCCAAGCGGTCATCACATCTTTTACTCTCAACGTCACAACAGGCGAGGTAATAGATGTCGCTGCGCAAGCTAGCTGGCAGGGATTTGGCGAAGGTCAGCTTACGGCAGCACCGTTCGTTGGTGGGGATGTGGTCGCTATCGCAAACTCTCCAACTGGGTATATCACGGTACTTGGTCTCGACCGAGCCGTATTCGATACCGCCGATGTCGTCCAGGATTCTGCTACCCACAATTACTTACGTCCAATGATTGTTGAGAACAAAAGAAACAAAAGCCTGCACATGGCTGCATCAAAAATCAAAAGCTACGGCCGTGCTCTCATTGATGATTACATCAGCTTGGGTGAGAGTATCTGGATCGACTAAGACCTTCTGTATTCTTTCAGTAACGGCTCATCAGTGCATTGTTCCAGGTAGTATCTTGTTCTGCGACGATGGGTCTTTGATGGTTCGAATTGCGCTGAGCCACCATTGTCCCTTCTTTCCATATTCGCGTCTCCTTGTTGAGCACATCCTTTGTCCGTTATTCACGTCGTATCAAATCATTGGGGAACAGTGTTGCGATAATTTAAACACTTTGATTTCCTACCCAATGATGGTCGCGAATCCTCACAGTTTCCATCCAACTCTCACTGCTTCATGTACTCGGGCGCAAACTTTACATGCTTTATGTGTGTGGCATTGTTCCCGAATGCAACCAATCATAGCAGCGGCAGAGCAGGGCAACGATGACATTAAGACAAAGTGGAAACCGCACTTCGCCGCACAGAAACTGCGCCAAACACAGTTATGACGGCCACAGCCATGGGAATGTGCGGCCTCATACAACTCCGCTAATGCGGCTGAAGCCTTGCATCACTGTGCGACGTCTGGCTACTTGGGCTCAGGCACAAGAACGAGACGCAGGGCCCTGCATCAGCACAGATCAAAGTCACTCTGATGGCATCTTTGCAGCCCAACAACTGATAAGAGACATCTTCACTGTGCGGGCGCATGAACATATTACGCAAGCAAATGACAGGCATGGAAGGCTCCATAGCTGTAGGTCAAAGGATGTGCAGTCTTGGGTCTCACGCGCCTACACATGACAGAGACGCGCACATAGCTAATGCTAGCGGAAAAGACAAGCTAAACCAGGTAGAGCGCAGATCAAAACCAGCTACGATGTAGACATATGCAAGCACGCTACCGATGCAGCGGAAGCCAATCAGATGTCAGAGAAATGGTATTCCTCCCATGCATGCTAGATTCTCAGGAAATTGTACAAAAGTCTCACTATGCTTTGCTCGTCTACATGTTTAGTATCTCGCACAAAAGCTTCCAACATGTCGACCTCCAGGCACGAAACCAATCGCCGTTCAGTAGGTCACGATGTCGAAATGCGTATCGAGCGTTTCAAGAACTATACGATCATAGCTCTTATCAACTTCACGACTTTTATCGCCTTTGCCGGACCATTGTGGATTTGCATTAGAGTCGTCCCGTCTACTACGTTTACACCGCCTACTGTGTCTACACCATTTACTCTGCCGTTTACTCTGCCATTTAATTTCTCATCTCTCATGCCCTTCGCTTTGCGCTGGATATGTATTATCACTCTATACCTCGGGTGCATCCAGAAGAACTGGCTGTTCTTCAATACTATAGCGATGGCAGGGACGCACTACATACTAGAGCTTGAAGGGAATAAGCGACCACAGAATCAGGACCTCGGAGTACGCACCAACGACTTCGAAGATTGGATTCTGGCGAACTTCTGCGTCATCGCTGGTCTATCAACCATCGGGTTTGTGGTGCGATACTGGTATCAAGTCATTGCGCTCACTCTCCAGTCATTCTTCTACTGGACTTGCACAATGAGTGGTCTCTGGCTACTATTGTGTTTGCTGAAACGAGCTATGAGTTACTACCGAAAGGTCAAAGGACTTAAACACGAAGACGCATGGGGTGTCCTTATTAGTGTCAATGTTCTACGGTTTTATAATCGATTCGAGGGATGTCACGCTGATGGGGTCCCTGGACTACTTCTTGATGCTGGTCGCGTTCCGTTTGAACTACTCAAGTTCCTGGTTAATTCAATCGGCTTTAAACTCGGCAGTGGGTCTTTGTTTGGTAAGTCTGTAGCGCAATTAGTTTCAAGTAGTATTCTAACTCTCGGCAGACCGACTACCAGGTGATTGGAAGGCCGCAAGAAGATCTTGTAGATCATGGAAAGAGGTCGCAGATTTTTTCGCGGGTTTCGCTGGACTAGCGGGTGAAGAAGAAGATAGAACGGAAGAGGATACACGAGATCCTAACAATCAAGAAGAACCCTCTTTTCCTCCGTCGGCTTATGAATGGGAGCCAAATCCTGTTATCCATGCCCATCTACGATCTGAGCATCCCCAGTCAACAGATTCTGATTCTTTCGTGGTCGAGAGTACACCATTGGAAAGCCGTCGCATGGATATAGCTGGCGAAAGAGAAGAATTCAGTTCGCATACGGCTGACAATTTCGACAACAAAGGCGCCACCAAGTTCAATGAGAAGTCTCCTTTCGTATCCAAACACACCGGTCCAACAACGATGTCCCCTAATCTATCTTCGTTTCCATGCCCGCAATGTACCTACGTCGCCAAAAAACGGTTCGAACTTAGGTGTGCAATAACCATCTTACCCATGTCTATCCTCGCTAACTTTTAGTAGCAGGCACATCAAGGGAAAGCACAATCACCGGTTCAGATGTGTTCATGACGGCTGCGGGAAGACATCCGGCCTTCGGACGAACCTCGAGCGTCACGAAGCGACACACGAAGGAGGAGAAAGATTTAAATGTCCCAATCCTTGGTGTAAGAAGCCTGGACAACTGTTCACGCGTGAAGATAATCTTAAGAGGCACATGAAACTGTGTGTTGCTTCCGATTGAGGAGATATGGCACATGTTATTTTTACTTTTGCGTGATAGACTCTTTCGTGTTATAAATTATATCAGCATCATACAGTTCGGCATAGGATATCTACAGCAAGCAGAGGTCATACATAAACGAGCGATAGAGGGAGAGGAAACAGTGCGCGGACGATAACATTCTGACTGGTTTCTTAGCGTCAGTGTTGTTCAGGTGGAACGAAAACGCAGTAGTAGTAGCGCTGTATCAATGCATACTATAATGCAAGAAGAACGCTATCATACCTTACCGTGCTACAGCGAAAATAACTTCATATTAGCCGTTGATTATCCCATTGCTGCAACTAGAATAGGAAGGTCAAAGTATCAGCAGCGGCATGTAAGGCGTTATCAGATCCTGCTAGGCAACAGTGGTTATGTCCGAGCTGTGAGAACTCCGATCTGATAAGATTAGATCCGAACTCCGAGCGCATATATCATATCAGTATATAAAGGAAGTTTAGAATGACTAGAATCGGGGCTTAATAGCATAAAGAGCTTTACTAGAATGTCGCACTCTGGAGTTCATGAGAAAACAGTTCAGCCTACTATTGTCTATCCAACCAACAACATATCTCAGAACAAGCATGAAGACTACGATGGCGAAAACCCGGAGATATCGTCTCCAATTGTCGACCTTGCCAACGACCGTCTAGTACGTTTGAGCAATGAGCACGGGGTATGTCATCTTTCTAGGCCGATGACATTTTGCTAACAGCCCAGGCAACATGGGCTTCTCCAGCAGATTCATCGGATCCTTACAACTGGAAGCCTTTACGCAAGTTCGTCATCGGGACGATATTCTCCTTCGGCCAGTTGATCCCCATCATGTCTGCAAGTATGATTGCGCCATCACTTCCTGCAATCGCTTCAGATCTTGCTATCAGCGCTTCCACAGCCCAGATAACCATGTCGGTATACTTCCTCGGTATGGCCTTTGCGCCGTTCCTGATAGCCAGTGCCAGTGAGGTATGGGGGAGGAAGCCAGTCTGGATAGTTTGTAATGCCTGGTACGTGGTTTGGAACGCGCTGTGTCCAGTGGGCAGAAACACCGGGTTGATGATCGTCGGGAGGTTTATGGCCGGAGCTGGGGCAAGTGTTGGCGTGACGGTAAGTGACAAGGCTGATCAAATCCAACATGAAGATAGCTAATTTAGTACAGTTGAATGGTCCAGTGATGGCCGACATGTATGGCGAAGACGAACGCGGCAAATCTCTGGCTATGGTCAACTTGCTCCCCTTCCTTGGCCCAGCACTTGGACCCATCGTCGGTGGTCTAATTACCCACTCTATACATTGGTCGTGGGTTTTCTGGATCATGAGCATCTTCAACGCCTTCATCCTGGTTGTCGGTTTCTTCTGGATTCGCGAATCGTATACGCCAGTCTTGCTACGTCGTAAAGCGTTAGCTGATGGTGGTAACGTCCCTACTGCTAAAGCAGAACGCGCTCGTATTGCGCGGAACCTCTTGCGTCCGGTCCGCATACTTGTGCGAAGACCTATCATCTGGCTCAATGCACTGACCGCAACGTTGTCCTTCGCTGTCTACACCCTTGTGCTCTCGACATATGCGTCGCTGTGGATCGAGAAGTACGGACAATCTGAGCTGACCAGTAGCTTGCACTACATATCGATTGCGATCGGCGCGACACTTTGCGGCCAGCTGGGCGGTCGTATTATGGACTGGTGGTATCGACACCTGACCAAACGGACTGGTGGTAAAGGTGTTCCCGAGTTCCGCATCCCGTACATGGTTCCTGGGATGGTCATCATGCCAGCCGGTCTTTTCTGGTATGGTTGGTCCGCCGAACGCACACTCCACTGGATGATGGTCGACGTCGGCGTCATCATATTCACGCTAGGCAGTTTCATTGTGAACCAAGCAACAATCGCGCATATGATCGAGGAATTTGGCCAGTTCGCAGCTTCTGCAGGTGCTGGTGTTCGCTCAGTTTCATATGGTCTTGCGTTTGTGTTCCCGATCTTCGCGCCTAATCTATACAAAACGCTGGGATATGGGTGGGGTAACAGTACGTTGGGGTTCGTCGCGATTGGTTTGGGACTACCAGTGTGCGCTGTCTTGTGGTATTGGGGCGCCAGAATCAGAGCTATCGGCAGGCCGACGTGAGCACAAAGATTGACGAGACGTATCCATGTAGAATGATATGACAAGGATGAATGAGTAACGATTCGCGAGATGTGAAAGCTCGCTGCAGCGCTATGCAAGTCCGGACCATAGCTCTCTTATCATACTATCCCATGTTCCATTCTCACATCTGAGAGACTCTCCTTCAACATGGCTGAATGCATCTCGTTCACTAGGAACAACTTCTGAAGACCCCTAACTTACATCGTGAGCTAACATCGAGGTAACGCGACAGGGGCGGCGCGTTTTGACTTGCGGTTGCAGAACGTCAAATAGGCTGAGCGAACCAATCGATCCAAAAATAGGCGCCTATAAGGCGCGTGTTGAAGAGTTCCTGTCAAACAGGGTGCAGATCCAGTAGGAGTTCTGGTGGTTGTGTCAACTCGCGATCGCAAAGGCCATTCGCGTGGTTTAAGCCATTTAGCAGTCTTTGCGCACCTCTTTAGCCACAGAGTGCCGTGGAGGACATCAATTTGATAGGTTAGGGACAAGAAATGAATACCAAGGTGATATAGGGAAGAGGCAATGGACGTAGGAACGAGCACGGCAAAGCTCGCGGGTGGTGACGTCATTGTTGATACAGCTGAGCCAAGACCCAAAGGGGCCAGCTTGATGTGCAGAGCCGCCGAATGCATCGGAGTCGCCAGCTGTTTGGTAACCCGGACGCGGTCTGCGCCGCAAGCCGTGGAAGGATGTACTCTTCAATGAGCTTTCAATGAAGTATGTAGCTTACAACCCGCATATTCGTCTCGCTACGAAACGTCTGATATACGAAATCACAACGTTTGCAGTCAAATATAGTAATGCGATACATCGAATCGCAACGACGAGCGTCCTCAAATTCCAATTTATCAGCCCATAACCTTGACCATAGCTTCCCTCCACTTCCCACCCCATCTGCCCATCGCATAGAGCGCCGCACACCCTGTGACCACGCTCCAAATGCCTAAGATCGTCATCAACCATCCATTTCCTATGGCGCTCAATATCGGCTCTGCAACTACCGCGCCCGTAAAGGAGAAGATGTTTCTCACAAAATTGTTCAGCGCAATTCCAGAGGCAGCCCGCCGAGGCATGAACTCCGTGAGCATAGTGTTGACCAGCGCGAAAATGAGCATACTACCGATGCCGAAAAAGAAGTTGCTAATCATGGGCACGATCCAATGGACCCCCTTCTCCGCTGTCCAACCATAAATGATCAGGGCCGAAGGCCAAAGGATAGCAGCAATCCACGCATTCTCCTTCATCCGGTCTTCGGGGCGAAAGATAAGCTTGCCTTTGTCGTCGTAACGTCCCGCTTTTCGGGCTTCGCGGTGCATGATACTGTCAATCCATTTACCACCGAACAGTGAGGCGAGAAGGTAGCCGGCCGAGTTGGGAATGTAAAGTAGGCCGATGATGAGGGTAGAGAATGAGTAGGGTGGAGCGGCGAAGGTGGACTGGATGCTAATGTTGAGGATGTAGAGACTGCCGAATGTTATGCTGGCGTAATATACGGTTAGGAGGACTGGTGGGAACCGGAGCCATGCTATGATGCGCAAGGGGTCAATGAAGATATGGCGGAGGTGAAGAAGTACGCCCTTGGTCTTTTGAACGGTTGAGGCGCGGGTTGCGCTTCTTCCGAGTGTTGTACTTTGCTCCTTCTCGGTTTCGTTACCGGCTGGTGCTGCTGTCGGATCAGCAGATGGCTTTTCTTTCCTGTGCAGGGTTTCCGGGAGTGCGAAGATGATGAAGATGAGTGTCATGCCGCCATAGATGACCAGGAACCATTGTGTTGATCGCCAACCTAGACCTGAGCCTAAAGCACCACCAATGATGGGGGCGAAGAGTGGGCCGCAGAGAGGTCTGGATGTGCATCCATAAAGTCAGTTTGTGTCTCACATGCAATTTGTACATGGGAGTTACTGACCCAAGATAGAAGATACCCATTGCTCGTCCACGCTCTTTCGTCTCCCAGACATCGGCGATGGTCCCTGCCCCAACCGCTTGTACAGATGCTGCTGCGCCGCCAGACAGAACACGGAAGACAATGAGCATGGCGATGCTTTTGCTGATGGCAGAGAGTATGGCAAATACTACGAAGAGTATGAACGAACTTATGTATATAGTACGCCTGCCCAGTCGCTCCGAAAAAGAGCTCCACCACAAGGGGAAGATGGACATGCTAAGCATGTACACAGCAACGCTCATGTTGGTCACTGTCTCGGTCGCGTTGAAGGCTGTGCTGATTTCCTGCAGCACTGGCATGACAATTGCGCTGCCCATGGGTGCTGCCATGGCGCAGAATGCGACAATGAAGGTCAGAAACCATTTCGTTTGCCGCGCATAATGCTCTGGGTTTTCGACCTCCGGGATGAGGGCAAAGCGAGCAAGAAGTCCACGCCGCTGCGAGCGTGGAACAACAATAGCATCGGGCAGAATTGAGGCAGTTCTGGCTAGGGTTACTGGACGTTGTTTTGAATTCGATGTTCTGGGCGGATCGACATTGCTAGAATGCCCTGACGCGGTCGAGGCTCGGGACGATGAGATTGACATTGTTTCTTCTGTATCTCTCTGGTTTCCCGTCTCCATGATGTCTTTTTCTGGTAAACCTTCATCCTGCTCATATTTTACGTCTTGGTCGGTGCCTCGGTCGGGTTCATCCTCCTGTTTCAACATCCTTGGTGGCGATCTCGACCTGTCATGATCTGCCATTATCGCCCGTCGCAGAGATTGAGGAAAGAAACACAGACAACGTAACGTCCGAGTCTTTCGTTCAAGCAAAAGCTCGCTCCGGTTTCCGCATGCACTGTCGCTTTTCCGTATGCGTCGTAATACCTCGGTTGTCGACAGCCGCTATCTCTAGCTCTTCAGCATGCTCTCACCGCGCACCTGTACCCTGTGTTCAACACAGTGTATCCTCAACAAGTGAATTGCAAACGAAGGAAAGCTAAAGCCCGCCATGACTCCAGACACAACCCAGCGAAAACGCCGCTGTTGAGCGATAACTAAGCGCAACGGGTTGCCGAACTGGGAGTGTTGCTATGCGGAAACAAACTCGCTCTAATTATATCCGAAGCCATGGTGGGGCTAGAAGGATGCATGCATGCGATCCGGGTAATTGGAGCTTGATTGTACGGGATGTCACGTGGAGACCTGTGGATCGACACATCCGTCGTAAGGCGGGCCGCCGCAATCGAGAACAAAGTTTCTGATATTTGTGTTTGAACGACTGTCAGCCAAATCCAGAGACACTCGAGGTTGACACTGCAGCATCCGATGGCACCTGCACGGCCGTTAACGTCACCGTTAGCGTTGTCGCACGAGCACGTTTGTGGTGGGGTAGAGATGGGTTAGCTCAACAGCTTGGAGGGGCCTCGGCGTCCCGATTACCAGCTTCCAACTCATCGTCGTTCGAAAGCGGCCACACGACACCGTCAGGCCATTGACATTGAGCACGCACCCCTCCAACTCTCCAAGTACCGCATCGCCGATCAGCCATACCATGGCAACCCAAAACCAAGACCGCCTCCGTTCACACTTCTCCTCAGCTCCCGATGCAGAGCACAACAACCGCTGGGACGATCTCTGGAGAGAGTCTACGTTCCTGCCTTGGGACCGTGGTCACGCAAATCCTGCACTAATTGATCTGCTCCGGGAACGTGGTCGCCCGCTCTCCTCACCGGACCCCAATCCCTCCCTCGGTGCACCGCCACCAAACAGCGAATCGGCGGGCTACGCTTCTCTCGCTGGGCCATTGAAGGATGACGGGAAAAGGAGGAGGGTGCTTGTGCCAGGATGTGGGAAAGGATATGACGTAGCACTATTTGCGGCATATGGCTATGACGCTTATGGGCTGGAAGTGTCCTCGCATGCTGCTGACGCTGCGAGAAAGTATCTGGAGGAACCCGGAAAGGGGCCGTTGGAAGGAGAGTATGCAGTCATGGACGAGAAGATCGGAAGGGGCGCGATGAGAGTTGTGTGTGGGGATTATTTCAAAGACGGCTGGTTAGGAGATGTGGAAGGCTGGGAAAACGATGAGGGGTTTGACATCATCTACGATAACACGGTAAGTAAAGCATTACATATAGCGTGTGGGACGTGTCTGGCGGCGTGTACTGACGCGATGGACAGTTTCTTTGTGCACTCCCTCCCTCTCTAAGACCGAAATGGGCATCTCGTACCACCACGCTCCTCCGCCGTCCCTCATCGAACACCACTTCTACTGGCGGTGTGCTCATCTGTCTCGAATTCCCTACACACAAGCCCGCATCTTCTGGCGGACCTCCGTGGTCGCTTCCTCCACTTGTACACAGTGAACTGCTCAAACGACCGGGTCAGGATATCTCGTATGACGACCAAGGGCTCGTAACCAAAACAGATCGAGAGGAGACAGAGAATGCGCTGGTCAAGATTGCGCACTACACCCCTAAGCGGACCCACGAGATTGGCGTCATCAAGGGCCTCGTAAGAGACTGCGTGAGTATGTGGCGGCACAAGGCGGATTGTCCGGATGATCAGAAATGGCACTGAGTACAGTTGGCTAGGAGGACGTTGTATAGCTCCGGTAGACAGCTTACAAGGCACCCATGTTCGTATCGCCGATCCCATGCTCAGCCTGCCTTGCGTAGTGAGTTGTAATGCTCGCCCAACCCATGACTGTGCTTGTAGTATCCCAGCCATATCTCCTCCTTTTCTTTGACCTCATCTTCAGCCTCTATCTTGTCCACCTGGCCGTCGCTGTGCAGTACGCATATCCTCAGACCATATGTCCTGGCCAGCGCAAGCAGCTCCAGATGTCCGCCCCATTCACCAGTCTCTCTAATCTTGCGGACGTGCTCGGGCAATGGGTCTTCCATGAAGCCTGTAAAGTCGTCGGCGTGGCTTTGGATCCAGTCTGCCGCTGCGTGTCTGACGGTCTTGTATCCTTGTGGCTTTTTGTCTGACCCCTCGTCGCTCTGTCCGGTGATGGTGACACCTATTCTCGGCTTTAGGCCCAGTTCTCGCGTCTGCAACTGGTCCGCGACCGCTGCATACAAACAATGACCGTCGGCTCGTATCTCATGCAGCACCAGCTCATGTTTGTTCAGTTGTACCGCCATGCGTTCTCGTTCTAGTTCACGTGGGTTCGGTGCGTTGGCGGCCTCGCGCTCTGCTTCGGCGATCATGGAGGCTTGTTCGGCGGCGCGGCGGGCGAGGCGGGCTTTTGCGCGATTTGGCTTCTTCTTCTTGGGTTCGGCAGAATCGCCATTCGTACTGCTCTCTTTGCTGTCTGAAGCAGAGGCAGTTAAGTTGAGGTTTGCAACGTCGTCTTGTATATCCTGCGCCTCGTCTCCAGAGCTCTGTGCGTCTTTTACATGCTCCTCAGCATCTACGGCCTCGCCGTTCTGGACAGCGACTTCATGCGCCTGACGCTCCTTCAATTCACGCTCAAGCCGTTCGCACTCATCGTTGACACCCTTGCGTGTCTTTTTGCTTGCTTGCTTCTTCTTTTGTGTGATACGGGATACGAGGTCGCGTTGCTCTTTACGGTGTCGAGATTGTAGAGCTTCGAGGGTTTCTGGTTCGGGTGCAGGCGGCGCGTCGCTCATGGTGATGATGCAGAGTGTCGTAGTACAGAAGCGAGGCTGAAGACTAAACTAATCGACACGAGGTAAGGACCGTGGGTTATTTGCTGTGAGATCGGCACGAGGGTGGTGGGGTGGTGGGGAGCGCGACATTCTTTGGCGTCCTCGGTGAATGGTTTTGCCGATGTGGACTGTCATGCTTCACGTCCTTCGCGCCAACCTCTCGCCTCTCACACCCTGGCAGAGTTGGCCATATCTTAGTGTCCAGTACACAACTGGAATACCTACCAATATCTCTCTGAGCTACGCAACGCGCAGTGACAAACCCATGCATCCTCCAACTCAATTCTGTCACGTATCCTGCCATCAATCTAAGCCTTAAGAGATGGGTTCAAGTGGGCATCCTTCTGGCATATCATCGTCTCCCCCTCTATTCCCGTCGCAAGAATGTATGGACGCAGCTTGCTCCCGGCTTTGTGAATGAACCGGGCTCAGCGACGTTCAGTCTTTCTGCTGCTCCGCCCTTCCGACATATAACAGTAAGTTATGAGTGACTTACCATGTCAAGTCAAAATGGCATGGATATTGTCGCACGATGCGAGCTAGATCATGGGTCAGACTGCTCGAAATGATCACGGTCAGGTGTGGTAAGACTTCCGTGTCTGTTCTTGTCATCAGTCTGAATCAATTTGGTATGCTGAACTCAATAATTCTCGAAAGCCATCGAGTTGCTGCCAATGCCCTCAACAAGATAGTCCGAACACTGCTGTATAAGCTCCGCTGCAGAAATCACAGTAGAATGGAAGTGAGAGCTCAATGTCCCGCTCTTTCACCGCACCTTCCTCGTGGCCCCGCACGTACTGAGCGCACAGAACTTATTCCCTGCCACAACACCACCACCACCACCACCACCATTACCCGCATCGACAACAGACATCTCTAGACATGCCTTTCCGCGACCAGGAATGGGAGGAACTGCAGCGCGACTGCGACATCTTCCCCGCCTATTCAGACTACCTTTATGGACCGGACCCACGCATTATAACAACACAGGAGCCTGGTCTACACCCTATGATATATCCCGTAGATGCTTCTGCGCCTATTCGGTACACTAACAGTATGCCATCGCGAACTTGGTCGCAAAAGACCACGGAAGACCTCGAGAAGTCGAAGAATGCTACCGCGCAAACGCTATTGGATGGACAGAACGAGCATGGCAGCGACATGAGCGGAGCAAGCAATGGTAGAAGTACGCCCGGCTCCTACGTACGCTCCCAAACTGGTAGTCTCCTGAACCCGTTGCTACCACCACAAAGCGTTCGTACTATCTCTGAGGAGGAAATGGCGCGACGAAAGACGTTGAATGCATCACAGCGCCGTCGTCAGTCTCAAACAGTAGTCCCTTTTAGTCCTTCGCAGCAGAAACAGTCTGTGAGAATGACTGGGCACCAGATGCACATTAGGAATACTCCAGTCATACATAATGCGGACGTCGAGCCACAACAGCCATCTTTCCTGCGCTCATCTTCTACTACCGATATCGACGAGACTCTAGCGCAAATAGGCTCACGTCAAAAGTCTGATGATCTTTCGCCTTTCGCGTCACAGACGACGATGCTACCTCCACCCGCAAATCTATTTCAACGGCAGCCACAGCATGCCACTGGCCCGTCCAACAACTTGCCTCCAATCCCTGCTCCAAACAATTCTCCAGAGCCCAGCCAGCAGATATCTCTCCTACAACCGAATGATATATTGCGCAACTCTCGCTACGACTGCATCAATCCCGCTAAGCGCTTGGAGATTGCAAAGGTCCTTGTTGACCGTTGGGTCATTGTGCGAAACTCTGCTGTAGATGATGCTCTAGGGGTAAAGGCCATGTCGGACATTCGAAACATCACCAGAATGGTCAACAATTCAGCTATCAATATACAAGCTGCGATGGATCTGCAACAACAGAGGACACAGCAGTTCCATATGCAGGCGGTTCCAGAGAGAGCGCAGACGGACCATATACAGCATATTCAACAACGCCAGCCTACTACTCAAACTCCGCAGGAATACGCCCAACCTCAGCCCCAACCGGGCATGTGGTCCGCTCAACTCACCCAGTCATCTCCAACCCAACCACCCCAGCAGCCAGCTTCGCAGGAATCATACTGCAGTGTTCCTCAAGCTTCTCAACAAATGCAGCTGCCTCAACAATCAACACCCCAAGGCTTTCAGACGCATCAACAGCCACAGCAGCAAAACCATGAACAGTACGAGCAATCCACAAGCCAAGACTCCATTCTAAGCCCTGCACAACTCCGCACAAACATCAGTCGCCACATTCCAGAAATGTGGCAGAATTTCCTGATTACCCAAAACACCTCACTGCCTCTGCAGGACAGGATGAACGCGCGTCAGTGGATGGTAAATTTCAAGAACAATCTACCAATTGAAGCTCATACGTACGTGGTGCAAGTTCTGCAAAGGGCGATGCGGGAGCACAGTCAGGGAAGGGATGCTTTAGCATTCCTAAAGACGGTGAACATGGAAAGCAATTTATCTGACGGTGGTGAGTCGAAGCATACCGGTGCGCAGGATGGCTTGTAGTAGATCATCAATCGTCTTAGACGTGCAGAGAGGGGGATATCGGTATGGGGTCTTGGTCCAAAACTCTTGTAGTTGGTAAATGCATAACATGAAATGCCAACATTACAACGAACATGCTCGTTGACTATCAAGATGGAGATTCTCGTTCGCTACTTGTAGATTACTTCAATGTAGTCAAAAAGAAGCTTCATCTCATGACTGAGAACTCGAAGACTAGCCTCGTTCTCCTATCTGCCGTCCACTTTCATGCACGGGATAGCAACACATAGTAGCAACGATGATCATAGTCTGACATACAAATTCGGCTGTGTGAAATTCTGCAGTCGTCTCGATGTGATATGAACATAGGCAAGTTGGTTGGAGGGTGCATATATGGGCCTAAATGGAGGATCGGATCAAATGTTGACGTTGGAATGGCTTACGAGACGTATTCTGTCAGACGCAGGCTATGCACGCCGCTTTGTTCAAAGAAAACCAGTTTGGTGGGATGTAGGTGTCAGAAGGAATGTCTCGCTGTTCAATCAGAAGTGAGCCAACACGACGTGTGAGTGAATACGTCGTTCGTCGCTCGGACGATAATCAAATTACGTATCTTCAGCGGCCCCAGATTACGTCCTGCCTATTGCGGCTAGCATGCTGATCCTCCGCCCTTCACCTTCCTTAATGTGCATCTCTCCACATCAACCTCCCAACCACCGTAAACCCCCAAGAAAGCTTTTGTTTTGCGCAAAAGCTTGTAGCAACATTACAATGAGTGTCACAATGTCTTCGAACCCTTCCACCGTGACCCATGCGAGGTCTGCGCGCGGCTTTAGCGACCTTCCGCAAGGTACCGTAACCAACCTCGGCATAACTCGTTCTCAGCTCACAGATGCGCAGAGGTGCGCAACAGGATATACATGCTTGCTGCGAATGACAAGCAGCGCCTTATTGAGCAGCATGTCAGCCGGCGCAGTATCACGACAACAAGTGAAGCTTTTTGGGCGGCTCGCGGTTACTACAGCTTGACCCAGGTGTCTCGACAGACGCGGCGGGAGTTTCGCGAACTGTATCTCAGGGATCGTGCTATATCGGTGCACATTCGTGATGCGCAAGACTACCTGGAGACCATCTACCCCTCGTCTGGCAAACATGCTGTCGATCGCAACACCATTATGGCCTGGCTCACGATTCGTACTGATGTCGAACGCCGTGGTAAATACGATACACCTATCGAAATCAGACCTCTGTTACTAAGCCTTTTCCATACGCCTGGTCTCGACTACGAGTTTACGGGAAAGGGTGGTGCAGTCTTCAACGAATTGTTCGTCGGTTACGAAGGAGAGTGGAAAGCCGCAGTCGACAACGTTTTCAAGAGCGTGGAGCTGAAAGAGCCGAGTGTCTTCGGATTGAGGCTAGTACTGAATCCCAAGAGCCAAATGCCTTGGGTCAAGCAATGTCCAATTTCTGTTACGAGGTTGCCACACGTACCAGAGGATGCTTTGGAGTGGTTCAGTGCGCTTGGACTAGATACGGAGAATGACATGATCTTCGTAAGGAGAGGTGCGCCAAAGTGGCTGCGCGGGGACTTTATCAAGAGTTCGAAATAGAGATGGTGAGGCAAGTCCACTGCACCGGGAAACCTGTCTCCTGGCCCCAAAACATAATTGTGTTAGAGATTCGAATATCGATGTTGACTTTTATAATAGCCTAACATCTGGGCCATGAACGTGATGACGACGACTGGCGGCCAAGTTATGTATAACCATATGGCTGCCGTCATTCCGCGTACGCAACGATGAGGTATGCAACCAAGACTGCATGCAGAAGTGGGTAGGTCAATGCTGGGGTTCTACAATCAACCCACTGCAAGCATGCCGCAGATCTCAGCCGTTGATCCGAGTGACCAAGCATACTTCTCTCTGCCCAGTTTCCCAAGTCTTTGACTACTGCCACAGTTCTTGCTCATACATCTCCCTGCTAATCAATACGATGGGGCCCGTGTTTTTAGAGTGCCGAAAACACTAGAAAACAGGCCTAAGCGGCAGTGCTTATTCTTTCGTCATCGAGGACGTCAAGGAAATGCGGCCTACATGTACCGTTCCGAGCATGTACCGCGTACCACGATGATACGAGGACAGCACGTGCCCCGCTCAATATACCTATGGTCTGACCTCAGTAAGTGCTTGTACTCGTTTCATAATACCTGCATGCGCATCCGACTGATCACCTGTCCACAATGAAAGCTACATCCTCGTAGCGAATCATTTTCAGCTTTGCAGCGAATATGTCGACAGGCACACGGACAGACAGTGATGCCGTGGGCTCGAATGCATCAGTATGAAAGAGCGAACAGGCCTGGCAATTACCGATTAAGAAGGGCCTTTTCCGGACCATCTAGCGCTGCGACACTCACCTTGAGCCTATGTTCAGGCCAAGCGATGCCCGATTATGGACATCGCTCGGACATGGCTCCGAAAAGAAAGCCTGTTACACGTCACTAGAGGTGAAAGCTGCGCTAGGTTCATCTTCATATCACTGCTGCGCGAAGGAACTACTAAACTTTCTTTTCTTATCCTGCTGGCTCGGTTTTCTCTGAAAGCGCGGTGAAATACAATGACATGAAGTTGCGATAGGATTTTGCCAATGAGGGAGCAGCAATGGTCTTAAGACACTGGCAAACGCCGAGAAGAAGGTACACGGGTCTTTGTAGTTGTCGCACCATGGTTTCCGGGTGCTGTTAGCAATACCTAGGTATGAAAAGTTGTTGTCACAATTATCCCTGTCGCATGCGCCACGGAAACCGGCAAGCTAGCCGGCCTTAGCCGACACGCGAAAGCCACATGACGCGAGCCACAGTTCCGCCTTTTCCGCACCGCTACTGCTTTCACCAATCACATTGCGACCTGCGGCATACAAGCCGTGCTAAGCTTGGGAATTGTGGCGCCAGTTTGATGAGATTTCTGCAGTGTGATGGCGCGGCTAGTCCTGCATTGTAAGGTAGAGCAGTTGGCACCATGTGGCTAACGAGTGGCTTACGCATACCGTGGGGAGGGGATTGGGCAGAGTATATATAGCGTAACGCCCCTATGTGTGGCTGTGTGAAACGTACTACAACTATCATCGTCTGTTACCCTTTTAGTCCATCTATATCGCAGTGCAGTACGAAACTAGCTTCATCAGGCTCTGCAAGACAAACGCCACCATGTCCTTCGAAACCTACATACAACGCGCAGACGATTACATCACAAAGCAGATCCACAAGTTCGAGCAGCAGAAACGTGGTGGAAATAGATCACCACCACGTGCGAAGGGATATCATCAGATGTCTGGATATCAGCATCAAGGTCGGCCGCCTTCCCAAGGTGGCTACCCTGGCAGCCCTGCTCCACAAGGGGGTCCTCCACCACCAGCGCCCCAAGGTTGGGCCCAAGAGTACGATGCGAGGAGTCAACGTTGGTACTACGTTGACAGGGCGACAGGAAGAAGTCAGTGGGAACCTCCCTCTTTTGCACCACCGCGCGCCGCCACCTTTCAGCCTGAGGTCCGCATGCCCAGTCCGTACCAGCAATTCAGCCGGGAGGATGAGCAGAGTCAACGGTGGCGCGAGCGATCCAGTTCTCAGCCTCAACGGCCTGGATCAGGCGTAAGTGGACATGGACAATTCCTCGATCCCAGGCAGAACGGTGGAAGTGGAGGCGGAAGTGCAAGCCCGGCTGGACTGCATACCCAAATACCACCGGGATCATATCTGGATATGAAGACGGGCAAGATCGTTAGTAGTATGTTCCCAGAAGGTCAGACACATCAGAGTTGGCAACAGGAGATACAAAGAATATGATATCAAGGAGCATGTAAGGAGAGAAATCAGTACGACTCATGATGATAAATGAATGGAGATGATGCGATTGGGAAAGAATAGCTTCGACAAGTCGACATGCTCTGGCGTTACAGGTGTGGGCGTGAACTTCAATTATTAGTGCGAATATGACATGTCTTATCTTTATGAATACTTTGTCTCATCAACCCGTTAAGAAATATAATCACTTAGTGCTGCGAATGAAGTAATGAAGCAAAGCTGATCATACGAAAATCCCTCGCCCGTTTCATGGAAGTTCTTCGGCGCTACTTCGCCGCGAGTACGCATTATTTCCTTAGCTACAGCGCCAAAGTCACTGTCGTGAACAAATAGCTTTCTTGCGTCCGTGCAGGAATGTGGGCGCATCATTGTTTTGGTCGTAGTATGGACTGGCAAGCAAGTTATCTAGACCTTGTCGCTCGTCTTGGTGTAGATCATAACGACTTGCTCCCTACTGCTGGTCCCGAGAATTCGTCGCTCGGGCTGGTATGCGGCCATTTTCAATTCAGTAGGGAGCAGAGTTGCTAACAATCAATCCAAACTGATGAGACTGACTGACTGACTGATTGCTTGGCAGTCAGTTCAGTGTCAGTTTAGAGCTCTCGTCTTATCAGTCAGTTCAGTTTAGAGCTCTTAAACT